TCTATAGATCTCCTGCAATATCCCCAGGGGTTTGAAAACCCTTTGTTTTCCTTCTATCTTCTTTGGCTTCTAGCGGATTCTTCTCGGTTCTTCTAGAATGGCTCGCGGATCTTTGGGTTGATCGTGCTTGATATATACATTTTCGTTTGATTAACCCGGCTCAAGTGAAGGTCCAAAGTGCTTGGTTGTGGTTCCTCTTCGGACTCACAAATATTGAGGCTTGTATTGACGGTATGCAGTGGAGAGCGCACTGAGTCTGTGTCTTTCACACTGGCATGCTTGATTGATCCTCCGGGCTCATTAATCTCAGTTTCTATTGTTGATATACTCTAGTTTTCGAGATATGATTTTTCGATTTGCATTTTAGATTGCCGTTATGACACGACAAGGAATTATGCTAACCTACAATCATCGTGTCTTCAACTTATTCACAAACCTAGCGGTATGTGACTTCTCTTGGAGTCTCCTATTTTACATAATTGCATCATCTCTTCTTCACTTCTATTCTTACCGATACGGACGAACACTTGGCTATGATACAAACTCAAGGATGATAGGCAAGTGCCAAGTTCTACTTACAATATGAAAATGAAGAATATTACGTTTTGAAATATGTAAAATTTCGAATCCCACTTTAATAAATTAAATGCGCGTTGAAACTTCCTTTTTTTCCTGCTGTTGAAAATGACTTTGGAGGAGGAAAGTTCCTTCTTCGGAGGTGTTCTACGGTATTAGATGCAAGTCCCTGTGGGTTGACTTCTTAATGATAGTTCATCGCATTGTTTTTAGATGCAATGTTTGATGTTTAATTTGACGTCGTTGCTATATCTTCGGAGTGTCGAATTACGGTTCGTTGTTATAAGACGAAAATTCCGGAGACTGTGTAGAGATTGCGTGCACCCACGGGATATTCCCGAGTGACCCCATTCGTAAGTTATTCATCAGGGTTTGTACCCGCTGCCCAGACTTTATATTAAGATTCCAAATAGTTGGGATGGGTAGGAAATTGGTGACAAAACTGCTGGCGAGTGAGTGTTTTTGGTTTTATTAATGTCTCATTGTATACTGTCATAGATGTCTTGTCGCCGCCAAGAAAAAAAAAGACCTATTTAGTATTTTATCCCATGGAAAGTCACAGGGTGGATGGTTAAGGCTCATGAGTACTGATCGAAGAGTACCGCGGTTTGATCAACGATTTGGCAATCGCGGGCCTTATCTCGGGTTATTTGGGCTTCTCATGCTTGAAAATCTTGGGCAAGTAACGAGTGGCTTTAAATTCGAAATTTGGGATTGCGAGAATAGATGAGGGGGAATATTTGGAGATGGTATTTGAAAGATCTATGGATGAGAGTTTGTTCATGAGTGAATTCTACTCAGAAGTAGTGGATGCGGGGACGCGTATACCCGATGGACTTTTCCTTATGGAAGGCTGAGAAAAGAATTCGGGAAGGCAAGGGGGAACGGGGCGAGAATTCTCCCAATTTAAAGTATAAGAGTCAGGCAGGTGCTCCATGTTTAGCTCCCGAAGCAGTAGCAATCAACTCTCCTCCTTTTACCGATGGGTGGGTTGAAAGACTGGTTTAGGATTTAACATAGGCTGCCACGGCTGCGGTAGACAGGAGCAGATACAATTAGACGAATTGTATATCAAGTGGTAACTGTCGTCTCTAGAGATTTGTCGCTATCAACAAACGGCGGATAATCTATGCTCTCGGCGTTGATGTGTCTATCTCATCTCGTCTCATTTTATCCCACTCCCATCTCATCTCCTACACAGATCTCCTCACTACTTTTATCTCATACACATAAATAACATATTGTATTACCTCCCATTCATTATTTCTCACAAGAATCCGCAAACAAGAAGATGCAACGCCCTCTCTGCACTCCGTTCCTGCCTCCGCGATTACATTCTTGATTTCTCTTGCTCGGTCGACTGAGATGTTGATGGCAAGGGATGCTTATATACTGAGTGCGTGAGGTAAGGTCTTGAGAAAGTGGGAAAGAGTTTGTTTACTTGTATCTGAAAGTCTTGAAGAGTTTAAATACTGGTAGGGGATTGACAATTGTTTTGTGCTGTAGACGCATTGCGGGGTATATCTAGGTAAGCATCGCATCTAAGTGGGTTTAGGAACGGGTAAGGAGAACGAACGATCTCTCTATTTAAGAAAGTGGTAAAATCATTCTAGCATGGAAGTAAACATTTGGATGCCCTTAAAGCCCTTGCTGATAGGGGATGACTGCCCTTCGAGTATTTCTGTACCGTAATCAACTAGCAGTTCGAGCTCGCGTACGTTGATCAGGGAGATCAAACTCTTTGATTTCTGTGTGTGGATTCTCGTTGTCCTTTCCTCACAATAAACTCATCGTTGTTGTTTGGCAACTTTTCATCTAATCTCCTCAGAAAAAGTCCTCAGTTCTTTCACGGTGAGAGTTCCTCAATCGATCGTGCAAATTTGAATGCGCTCGTATGAGTATACCCGCTACTCCACGATTGCACAACACCTATATATTTTAGTGCCTTGTATGAATCGTACCAGTATGATCTCAAGAAACTTTTCTATGACTCTGGGGGATCTTATATTCTGTCCTTCAAGGAAAATCCCGGAAAGAGAGGGGCTGAGGGAAAGGTAGAGGGGGAGGTGGATTGTTCTGCGGGGTATAGAGGGAGAAAAAGCGTACAGTGCGGATCTTGTGTTTGTTTGGTTTTTGAGTGAGATGCGAGGGCTTGGCTAATCGTGACTACCTATCACCTACGTATCCAATGTTTGTTGCAGAATGGTGAATGTTAGGTATTCAGAAGACTCTGCACAGAAATATATAAACCAAACAAATTCTGCGGGAGCTGATGATCATCACGTCTATGAAGAAAACATATATAATATTATCAGGAGAACTTCGCGCCCGCTCGGAGTATGCGTTGTTCTTGTAGTTACAAACCCATATATCAGCTGTGGATATTTGATACACGGAATCGGGATAGAGAAACAATGGGATTATTGTCGTTTGTGCACTTCTACTTTCGCTTTTTGGAGGATTTCGTTGTGTTTTTCTTTATGTTGTCAATTATGTGAGTCTGTTGTTTTTTTGATTGTTTGTAAGATCACTTACACTGAAGTTTTTCGTCTCACGTTATGTGGGTTCAGTATAAATGCTTGCTGGCTCGCTTGCTTGTTTTTCGTTCACTGGGCGAAAGTCACAAATGGCCTTCAATCAGCTTATGATCTGGCTATGATGATTTTATGAGTTGGGATATTTGGAGACTTGTATATCATATCGTTGAAGAAGGTATAGTGGGAGTGGGAAATGCCGTCATGCTTGGAAAGTCAGGAGGGCATCGGGATGTTAGATCTGGGAGTGAATTGGTGTCATAGAATGAGGGGTCATTCGAAGTTGATGTGCGATTTAGTATATGCATATAAGGTGATGATTCACTTTGTTCACAGTGATAGAAGAGGTAAGTACCTTGGTCGTGAAGATGCGACGCTCAAGAGAGATGATAGAGTGGTATATAAGGATCTTCCTTTTGACTCTCTACAACCTTGCATAGCCAACAATAGGACGGAGTTGGAAGATCGTGATTTGGCAGCGTGTAGCATGTATATCACTATACTGTGTTAAGCACCAGTCGTGAAAAGTACGACCACTCGAACAAGTAGTCAAGTGCTCATTATCATCTAAGCAGAGACACAACTTCCACGACAAGAGTCTTGTTGTCAGAGTTTATGAGCAATACTCACCATACTATGATCGTACATATTAAATCTTTTACTGTTACATCTCTAATTCGCCGACCATATGAACAATTCTCTACTATAGAAGACCCGTGATTGAGTAAGTTGAACAACGTCTCTCTAGCTGTCATTAATATCGTAATGATCCTTGCGAAAATGTTTGGCGAGCTTGAGATTTATACAATACTGTAAGAAACTATCCACGCTAAACATGAATGCGTAACTCAAAACATGTTCTCGCATGAGTGAATCACGATACCTAGGTAGGTAGTATGGCTTCTATGAATAAGGCTGAGAGCTGAAATTAAGCGAGGAGTCGTAGCAGAGCAGGGAAGATGTGAGGTAGATTAAAGTGTAATATAAGGAAGGTAGGCTCAGTATGTATGCAGAATACAGTGATTGTGATGATAAGATTGCTGCTGCTGCCGATGTATCGGCTGAAGAGCGGTATGGCGCAAGCGGCGGGTGAAGTACGATGGAAATTGATGGGTTTGGGGGCAGAATAGGGTTTTGATGCCTGCATATTATGCTTTTGGTTTTGTGTTGTGGGAGAAATAGATGCGTTCTTGTTGCTGTTGTTATTGTTTTTGGGCTTGAATTGAATCAGTGATGTATGATATTCATTGTCATTGTTGATAATAATAACCTAACGATCAGTATTCTGGAAAGAAAAAGTGTGATTGTTGAGGACCAATTATGTAGCGTGAGCCACGTGAGATAATGTCTATTATGAAAATTCTAACATGGGGAGATTGTGACTAGGATAATGCCTCCCGCGGCATTCCTGTGCAAGGCCTTCGTTGTATTTATGATGTAGACTTACAAACCATTAACGCTAACAGTCTTTATATTATTGTGGTTCAAGTCTGCTAAAAGGTGCCCCGCTTTCATACAACTGTCTACTGACAAATGAAACGAGACAAGTTTTCAAATCAGCGTCCATTTAGATCTTAAATCGACCTATTTCCTACAACTCTTATCCATATTTACCTTGTCTTATATACCTTAACATATCCGTCTCGACGCTTCTGATAAAATGAAGTCAAGTAACAAGGACAACGATCGCCACACCGCAGATCTTGCCCATCTCCGCCTCGACATCATTTTGGTTTGATTTTTCGGCGAGATGTCTCAACTCGGGCGTATAACGAACCATTTCCGGCAGGTAAAAATGAGCATCTGTGATATCTCTCTATCAGCGTTCGATGCCGGCACCATCAGAGAATATTAGCGAAAACCGTACGACGGGGGTAGCGGAAAATGGCATCTAAGTATCAATGTAACATTTTGCTAAGTACATCATCCATAATTCACATTTAAACTACATTATTGAATCTTTCTCATCTCTGACACTAAGTCTTCACATGGAAAATAAGATATCAAGAAATAAATAATTACAACACGTTGATTGTCTTAAGATGGGAAACGTCTGAATGGATTTGTTGAGTTGCGGTCGGTTTCCGCTGACAACACGTGATGGCTGTCTATCTCTTTGTCATCTGTAATAAGCCCGACTGAGGTTTATTGCAATGTGTGTTTACTGAGTTCTGGACCAGGCCAATACTCACACGTCAAAAAAACTCAATGAATAATGAAGCGTCAAGAATATGTGTGAAGAAGTGTAAAGTGGCTGGGCTCCCTTGACTTGAACCATACGACTACGAGAGTTAAGCTACCACATCTATGTCATGCAAGAGGGTTTCAAAGGTTGCGCGGAATTGATTCGTCGCTCCTAATTGTTTGACAGGAAGACTAATCTTGCCATAGACTGTATTTTTTAGGAAGTAACACAGTGACGAGAGTGAGCCTTCGGCGTCAACTTGCCAGCTTTGTCTTTATCCAGCTGCTTTTTCAATGCATTCCTCCAAGCAAATGTAACGTAGTACGCAAAGCTAACCTAATCGCACGCGGACGTGGAATATGCCCCTCCTCATAAGGTATCAGCTCGACCAGCCGAGTACTGAAAGTGATGCTTGCACTGATTTTGAACATCCACGTCAAATTTCTGCGGAGGAACAAAAGTACATTGCAAACCATGAGTCCATAACGTCTTCCGCATGCTTCTTGTAGAGCTTTATTCAAAAGAGGCTGTAGTGATAATTGGTAGGTCTAGCTAAGAGCCCTTAGTCCACAACGAAGCTGGATCTCATCTTTACTGCTTCATCATGGATATCGGGAAGGGTTTCTGCCCGCTCCAGCCATTTCAAAGCCTCCTCAGTTTGACCCTGAGATTTACATATTGAAGCCATGTTCAACATACTCAAACCAAAGCCGCTTTCAGCTGCGACTTGAAACCACTCTTTGGCATAACCATAATCTCGTTCTGACGGCTTCTTGTCCGCTTGGTCACCGTTTTTAGATAATTCAATAGAACCAAGATTATGGCATGCTTCAGGCATACCCGCACCAGCCGCTTTGAGTAAATAAACCATCCTATTATCCTCTTCGTCAGGACCTACATGTTTAGAAAGATAGAAGAATGCTGCTGGATGATCTAAGTCTAATGCTGCTTTGCTAAACAACTTTTTTGCAGCTACTCTATCAGTCTTTTCTAAAATCAAGCCAAGTACGACGAGTGCCTCTGCAGCCCCTGGAAAGTTTGGTGACTTTTCTCCAGCAACAGCTTTTTGCAACCAATCTCGAGCTTCCTTTTCCCTTCCTTGACTGTATAGAACTTGACCAAGAAGTCCCATTGCTTGAACATTGCTCCCCCTCTTAGCCAAAATACCTAAACGTTCAAGAAAGGGTGTGAACCTTGCTGTGTAGAGCTTGTTATTATAAAAAGCTTCCGACACAACCTCTAACGTGGCTGCCGGGTCTCCCATAGCTGAAGCTGAATCTAATAACACCCTTGCTAGACGTTTTTGTGCTTGTTCCCGGCATCTCCCCATGGAAATAGATATTTGTGTCACATCAGATGCCGTGATACCATGCTCTATAAGACATCAGTAAGATATGTAAGCTGCGAAGAAGAAGAAAAACCTTACTATTGCAAATTCCAGTCTCCCAACCTTGGTTCGGATTTCCATGTAAACTCTGGTAGTTCTTTAAGAATTCCATGGCTTTATTAGGTTCGACAGTTAGAACTCCAGCTTTATGATCTGTTTCAAGAATAAACATCGGTGGAAGAGCTTCAGGAGTGTTGATTGGCACCCTCTTCCGTATGATCACTGGTTCAGTAGCATTTCTCTTTGCTAATATTTGCTTCCGTGAAGGTTTGATATTGACAGCGAATAACCTCGGGGTGATATGAAACGACCTTTGATTTAACAGTCTGAGACCATGTTTAAAAGGGAGCATTACTCGAGGATTTGACATGTTAACATTCGTGAATAGATTATCAAATATCAATCAATGAAAAGCCTGATATCAATATAAATCACAAGCTTGATGAAGCAATAATGATCAACCATCTGCGATTCTCGATTATCGGAAAGGCGGTGAATCCGATAAAATATCAATGTCATAGCGCTTTCCGGCACTAGAGAAATCTCAAAGATTTTTTTACAGGTTTGTCCTACACCCAAGGCCCACTCACACCTTTAACCATTATTTAAAGTTCAACCCAATACAGGTTTTCTGTATGTTCGCCAGAATCTTTAAAGCGTCTTCGACAGAGGATCTTCAGGCGGACGATCCATTGACTCCTAGTCAGCAATTGCGCGACGAAAGCAGAAGAACTAGAAGTATGGTTACTACGCGGGGTAGAGCTCGAGAATTGGCAGATAGTCCCTCAGTGAACGGAGATGGAGATTCTATAATCATCGATGAGGGTACTCCGGTTCCAAAAAGAAGAGGGCGACCGCGCAAATCGCTTCCTCTTGAAGACGATGAGGTTGCTGCCTCTCCACGACCTACGAGGAACTCGAAAAAGCTGTCGGCACAGGCAAGCGAAGAAGAAACTACACCAATACAATCACCGCAAGTAATTGAAGAAATACCTAATTCTGCAGAAGAATCCGAAGATGCGCAAATTATTGAGGCAGATGAGGAGGTAATTAAGACATCCAAAGCCAATGGAGATGTGTCGACCCTCTCGAAAATCACTACCACTGTTACCACGCCAGTTGCGAAGAAGCATAAGCGATTCGATAGCGCAGAGCCTGAACCCGAGCCAGTAGTAGAAACGAAATCCGAAAAAGTTGAAATTGAAGACGAGGAGGACGAGAGTAGCGATGACGATGCTCCAGAAGAAGTAACAACAAATGAGGCTGCGAAATCCGCCAAAGAAAAGGAAAGAGAAGCAACAAAAGCAATTGAAGAGTATGTTTGATGTTATATCTGCATGAATAATTTGCTAACGAGGATTCTAGGCAAGAAGCTGCCTCTAAGAAGAAGCGTCAGGAGAAAGCCGCAACTCTTAAACGTCAAGCAGAGGTCTCTAGTAAGAAGCGCAAGTTAGATCTTGCATCCGCACAAGACGAAATGTTACCTCCCGCTCAGAAATCGAAGATCGAGGTCACATCAGCCACCGAAAAGTCGGATGTCGATGTGGACGAGGAATCAAATACTTTAGAGGGAGAGGGAACGGCAGATGGACGACTAGACTCCGAGGACGACATTGAAGAAATTAACAGAACTTTCGCAATCCCAGGTCAAGTTCCACTTCCAGATCTTCTGCCGGCCGAATTTCTGGAAGATGATGACGTTGATAGCCCAGAACCTGGCCGCCTTCATTCAAGCCTACCCACAAGATCTGTCAAGCCAGACAAATTGCGTCGCCTTCTGGAGAAGAAGCCGAAGGATAAACGGGTTGGTTCAACTACATTCAGAGTTGCGGAAAGCCGAAATCCACTTTTACCTCCTAAAGCATCAAATCAAGCACGCTCGCTAAAGGAATCGTGGTTACAAGGTCGGGCAGGAACCAAGATCAAGCCAAACCGTAAGCCCTTCAGTCAAGGTTTCATCAAGACCAAGAAATAGAGTGGAAACTGTGCTAGCAATTGTGGCGGTAATATCGATGGAATTGGCTTATGTGCGGCGTCATTTATATTGTGCGCTGTCGAGAACGTGAGGTTGAGAGGCTCTCAAGATGTCTAGGTAACAGACATCAAAATAGCAGAATTATAGGAAAAAATAGGGGATGAGAACAATACGGTGGGAAGACTGATGAGGGGATCATGCGGCGGAGGAGACACTACAAAAGAGAATGATCACTCCGAGAAAGTCAGGGTCTGAAGTTACAGCATTGGTGTTTGGCTAGGGCTGGCGCATCTGAACAAAGGATTATTGAATGATTCCCAACTTTGTTGAAGGAAAAATTAAGCAGCATGGAAGTCCGGAGAAATAATTGAATTCAAAGTGATTTTCCACAACTCATTGAATCTCACAATGCTACCTACTTCTGAACTTATATATCCTTCAAACCATGATTATAGATCCCGCAATGCTCCATAAAACTTGAGTAATTTCTCAAGCCTCTTATTTCTCTCGTCATTATAAATTCGTTGCGAGTTTTGGTGCATGGCGATTACATCGTGACTGAAAATTCACTATTACTATCGGAGTCTGGTTGCTGGGGACTCAGGTAGAATTAGAGTTCCTTGATGAAGTGACTGGTCCATTATCTCGTTGGCTTCGCGAAGCTATGAAATAATGCAAACTGTATGAAGATAAGAGATTGATAGGTATTGAGATGGAAGAAGGCTAGGAGAGAATGGGAACAGAGAGAGTCAAATCGGTCTTCTTTCCTGAACTCGAGCGAGTCTCCTGTTGAGATGCATGCTAGATGAAGAAGTATTTGTTCCTTTTTTGATAAAGGAATAGAAGAAAATCGTCAAATGAGAAGCGAAAAGAAAGAGTGTTATGGATTATATATATATATTAGCACATGTAATGGTAACAAACAAAATAAAGTCAATCTTCAAATCTTTCTGCTGTATAATGTGTAATGTAGGATATTGTAAGATCAGATTCATCTGGTCAGTTTCAACAAATTCTCCCAGCTTGTTCATCTCGAAACCAGACATCTATCGCCTTCACTGTTCATATTGAAGTTACTGCACTTATATACTCCAGTATAAAGCACCTTGCTTGCTAATTGTAGAATGGAGGGGGAAGGAAAAGTCAAGGGTTAGGGTTAGGGTTGATCAATTTAAAATATTATGTTTTTAGATATAGTGATGTTGGTTCGCAATGCCTTCTCTCCCGACTGTTTCTATTTTGATATGTCCTATCCTCTCCTATTGTCACGAATAATGTTAGTCGACAGCGATCTGGCTCCCGCTCGCGCACCGCACGCTTCCGCGGGTAGACTGAACACATTCACGTAGCTATCGAATCCGAAGAGCTTCGGCGTAACCATAACTTCAATCTACACTCAAGCTCGCTTGCATATATTACAAGTACAGAGATTAATCCTTCTGGTAAGCGCACATTCGCTCTTTGTTTCGGGTTCGAAACGAACGAAATATTCGGCGCACTGTCTCGTGCGAGCGAATTCGTCACTTGCCGGTTTTTACATTATACAGGGGCTCGCCTATGACAAGCTAAGCCTTAACAATCTTAGCATTTCTATGATATGGAGTCGTTGCTATGACTGCCATTTGCTGGTATGGAAGAAAAAAAGATAATTTCAGGTAAAATCGAGGAGAGTTCTTCCAGGAGCCTGCCTTTTCAAAGTTTCGTCTCGCATGCACACGGGCCGAAAATTCCATTCATGGTTAGTCATCTACTAGGTTTATATGGCTTAGTGGGATGATTAGGTGCAGCAGATCGGAGATTTATGAATCGTGGATGACATTCTTTCAACACTTTCTAGAAAAGCAAAGGCAGTTGGGAGGCTACCATCAAACTGTTCACTTCGAAACTTGAAGGAGTATCAATTTTGTATCTATTTTAACTACTCCAAATTGATCACACTTACAATATGTCACAGAAATCCCTGTGTTGCAACACCAACGCCGCCTGATCCAGGAATACAAGGTAGATGTGATCCTTGTGATCACACCTCAAGTGAACTTAGTTTGTTGTCTTTATACTCACCTATTTCTCTATCAAAGTGATCAACATAGCTATCCTCCATGATATAATCCTTATAATTCACATATCTTTCAACAACCTGTGTTCTGCTCTGAAAATGCTGTATGAGTATTCAACAATCTTCCAGCAAATAAAGACTCGTTCCTGATTGAACGCGGTATCCAACAGATATTCCCAGTGGCTTGAATAATAAGCAATCGCATAGGTGTTCAAGATCCATGGATGGTTCAACAAATGTTGTATGGCAATCTCCCGGATAGCTCACCTCATTCAGATACAGTGACATGTAGTAAAGTTACCTTTGGTAAAAAGGCAAAGTTATTACAGGCATTTTACCAGCGCTATAATAATTACCAATGGTAACGACGTAACAGCGGACCAGGCGTGCATGCAGATCATGAACACCCATTCGCAACGATGGCAAGTATCCAGTGATTAGGTATCCCATGTTTGATTTGCCATGAGATTACTAGGTCGGTTCATAAAAGAAAAGTGCTATCACTTATCACAGAACTTTCTATTCATAAACACAACGAAATATCAAATCTATTTTTTCATGGAATTTCTTGACATGGCTTATGATTTGAACAAGAGGTCATCAATGATTGAAAGCTGGAATATTTCATTAATAATATCTGTGATCATGGGATAAGTTGCGAAGATATTTGGGATCTTGAGATGATAATCGAATTGAACAAAATGCAAATTTGTGCGAAATCGTATGACCCATGATGAAATTAGTAAAAGAAAATGTGTTCATAATCTCAATAGAGTGATAGCAGTTAAAGATATCGTATTAATAGTTAGCCGGGTAGGCCGTTAGCATGAAGAGATTGGATCGGACCATCCTATCATCCATGCGTGTAACTCAAACATACCAATAGCCAATATCGTTGAACTTTCTTTGCTTGCTTGACAACTGCCGCTAATCTAAAGATCAACTTTGCTATAGTATGATCGAGCAGATTCAGGATTATCGATCCTCAAAATTGTGCTTGACATTTCGATAACTTCGATAATGATCAATCGTCAAAAGAAAGATCGATAATCGAAATGTCTCTCAAAGAGTTATCTCCGGCGCGCGGCTTGAGGGCCGACTGTTGAAAGCTCCTGTGCGGTTTTCCTAGCAACCAGGAACAACACTCTTTCCATACAGACTGAGTCTTGGCTTCGAAGCTTCCCGAAAAAAGATACACACATGCTCTTTAGCATCGAAGCTAATACATAACGACCATAAAGAATTTCCTCTTATCATTGGAGTCGTTTGGGAGCCACCACACTGAATATATCGGAGCGCGTTAGTTTCTGGAAGGAAAATCAGAGACGGAGGTAGCTATCCAGCTTTGTCTTTATCTGTTCCCGTATTTAAGCTGATAAAGTGAGTATCTCTTCACTGTTATCTTTTCCCAACTCAACGCATCAAGATTTCCACTTGTTAACTTCATTGATATCTGTTTGAATTTCACTTTTCTCTGGCTTCTGGAGTTGAAAAACGCCTACCAGAAGACTCAACACCCCATCTATATTGCTCAACCATGGTTTTGGTTCCATAGGATACAACTTCAATATAACACGAAAGGTGAGAGAGCGCATGCCAAATAACAGGAGGAAAAGTAATTTAGGCTAAAGACTTCTTGCAATTGGAACTCGTCAGTCAGATTATTCTTCGACACTGCACTAGTCGGGTTCTTTCATAACGTCAGTTATGCTAGCTCCATCAACCTGAAAGTATATAAAACTTATAAAATTAGAATTCAATAGCAGTTCGCTAGCGTATAGTATTCGAAATCCTAAGAAAATTCAGGGAACCTAGAGAATTCGGCGAATGTCTGAAAATCCGGAAGATATCTGAAAACCCTGAAATCCCAGGAAATGACTGGAATGCAAAGCTCCACTAGCTTTCCACAGAATCCTCGAAACCTAAGGGAAATCCTGAAAATCTGGAAGATTCTAGGATCCAGGAAACTCGGAAAAAGCCTGAAAAAGCCTAAATATTCGAAAGATCTGGTAGATACCTAAGGCCTGAAAACCTCAAAGATTCTGAATACAATCTTATTTGCGCCCCTCTATTGGATAAAGCAACTCCAACAGACGCTGTTTCATCTTTGGCTAGATACAAGCTACTCGATATGGTATCGACCATTTGCAACCAGCTTCAACCAGTGAACCCGACTATTCACGGAATCATTAGTTAGACCTTTCCCTATATAAGAGGCCTTGGGTATTATACAGAGGCTCTGTCTTCTTAACAGGATTCATAAAATCAGGGCACTGCTGGCATTTTGTGGGTATTGCCTAGGATAGGGTTCGTTTCCCTGAAAGAGAGATTCTTCTTCTCAATATTCTTTTCAATCCCTTCCCAACTTTCATTCAATTGCTATCTTTCATTTCGAAAGGATATCGAAGATATATCTTGAAGGTATATCGTGAAGATGTATTGTGAAGATGCCTCACAGGCTTTCTGAAGAGTTCGAATTATAAAGACATTTCTTTTTCTTAGCTTTTTTTCAATTCGATATAATGAGATAGGGCGTTATCTTGATTTGAATAATATCAATTGTGTGCTGTTGGCATATTGTAGACATATTGTAGGCTAATTGAGGTGAGATTTTCGAAAGAACTATCTTCGAAGCTTTTTGAAACTATTAAAGCTATTTCCGAAAATTAGTTGATGATTTGCTCTAATGGATTGAATGAAAAGAATTATTAGAATCAATACAAGATAACGATTAGTATAAATAACGTGGTTTAACACCGAGTGCACCATATCACTGAATGCACCACTTTTACCTCAATTTGCACTCTTCAATTTCAATATACAATTTATCAATTATTTATTATATAATCAAATAAAAAAGAAGCTCAAATACTCTTAGCTATTAAAACTATTCAAAAAGATAAAAAACTTAATATTCAAAAGATTATTAAATTATATAATATAATATATATAACACTTCTTTATAGAATAAATAATTTATTTCCTTATATAAAAATTCAAGTAAATAATTATAAAATAATTGATTTAAAAAAAAGATATTTATTTAATATATAATTAATATAAATAATAAAGGATTTTCATTTAAATTAAATAATATAGAAGATATAGTGAATCATATTCTTCAATTACGAGAAATAAAAAAAATTGAAAAGCTTTAGACTTATCGATTTGTAAAGCGTTATACAAGATTAAAAACATATTTTAATTATATTTATAACTTTTAAAAAGCTTTTTGCAAAGATTTCAAATTTATTGAAAACTAGTTTTATATAATTTCGAATATATAGATAAAATATAGTATTCTTGATTGTGATTTCTATAATTTTAATAAAATTAGTTTTATAATAAATATAATATATCCTAAAATAATTATAACTAATACTAAATGAAATAGTAGAAGAAAAATAATACAATTAGATAATCAAAAATAAGCAATAGTGATTATATATGGCAATAATGAGGGGGATATTATACCTTTATTTCTGATAGTTCAAAAACAAATACATCTTTTCAATTGATATATCAAAACCGATTTTCCTATAGATTAGATTATTAAATCTATATCTAATGGATGGATGAATAATAAGATAGGGTTAGAATAATTAAAATATTTTGATAAACATATAAGAAATCGAATTAAGGGCAAATATAGAATATTAGTACTAAATGGGTATAAAAGTTACAAATCAATATTATTCCAGAATTATTATAAGGAGAATAATATTAAATATATGTATTTATTATTACATTTAAGTCATTTAATTTAATCTTTTGATATTAGATATTTTAGTATTTTAAAATAAGAATATAATATTCAAATTAAGGGGTTTATAAAAGTATATATTTATTATATTTCAAAGATTGAATTCTTTATAGTTTTTAAAATTGTATATCAATAATCAATTACAAATCAGAATATAAAAACTAAATTCCAAAGAATAGAATTAGTTTCATTTAATTCTAAAGCTATATTTTCTAAATTGAATATTTGAATCTATATATTTACTCTCCCTTTTTTTGATTTAGATTTTTAAATCTTTTAAATACCTTGGAATCCTATAAAAGCTTTTTCTCAATTAACACTAATTAAATCTCGAATAACCTATTATCAATCAAGCTCTCCTATATCTATATTCGAGATTATATTAACTTTAGCTAAAGGTACAGAGAGATTAGCTTATGAGAATATACTTTTGAATATAGAGATTTATATATTTCGAAAGACAAATAAGATATTAAACAAATATTGACATATAAAAAAAACTCAATTAAATCAAGGAGGAGTACTCACTAAACAAAAGACTTTTAATATATTATCTCAATAAAAGATTGATATTCAGATTTAACACAACAAACATCAAAATAAGAGAAATCTTAATGAAAAAGTATCTTCTAATCAATACTATAGTAAATATGGAAAACCAGGTTATAATTCAAGAACTTGTTAAAACAATATAATAGATCCTAGATTATTAGATTCTTAATAGTTTCAATTAATTGATTCAATTGTTGTTGAATAATATAAATTAGAAAGCGTAAATTGAGGTAAAAGTGGTGCATTTGGTGATATGGTGCACTCGGTGTTAAACCACGTTATAGGTATAGGCCTATTATAAGACTTTTTCTGAGGCTATATATGTTTGAAAAGTCTTTAGCATCGGAATAATGGTCGGCCCGATGTCGAACCGACTAATGCCCATAACACTAATTTTAACTTTATCACGGGGCAGGCAGGCAGGAATAGGGCTCTAATAACTTTGCCCTAATTTGGCAAAGTTATATTGGTTCAGATAATAGGTTCAGATCGAAGATTAAGACGTAGCTCGAGATAATATCATTACAAGTCTAACGCCTCTTATCATCCCATAGACCTAATACTTCATTGGTCTGCAATAGCCCATTTCTATCTTAGCCATCTGAAAAAAAATATGATGATCGAAAAGCGCAGTCACTAGTCAGCTAGGGCGCAGAGCAATCTATACTAATCATATTGGTTCGACACGATCCATCCGGATATACTGAGCTTAGCGAATGAGTAAGTCCACAGTGATAATGTTAATGATATGGCTCCCTAGTTGTGTTACAGCTATGATATATCTAAATTCTGAGACGGATAGCAAACTTGACCAAAAGTTACTTACCAGGCGCGACTCTCATTCCATTGGCTTGATTACTGGTCAGCCAAGATGGAACTTCTCCCGTTCCGAAAATGCAACCCAAAAAAATGAGCTTGCAGCCACCAAACTACTTTAATTCCGTGTATTAGTCCTTGCTACCATTATATAGGCGCCGGTATCCAATTTAAAATCGGCTAGAGGTCTTGGGCGAAAAAAGCAAACGAATTTTCATCACACGCTCTGTCAAATGCTTTGAGAATGAAAAGTAAATGGTTTGTATGTGTCTGCATGCACTGCTTCTTGCGGCTACGAACAAAATCTACGTCGAATATCATTGCTTATTACTGCTTCTGTACCTTTACCCCACCCCGGCGTCGTTACAAAAGTGTCGGCGAGGAGTGAGGTGATATTTTCCCTGTCGCATAACAATTCTCCCTGAAAACAGCTACGTAGGCATGCATACCAAGTATACTAGTCTCCAATCTCTCACTGAACATGAGCGCTTTGAATCCATTGACAACTTCTTGACGCTACATAAATGATTTTGCTGGCTACCAATACCATCATCAATTCACCAAGCTTCTCATGACCTTACGGGCGAAACCTGTTCTCAAGCCCACAGCATTTTGATGAATCTGGATGCTGTTAATGCTCTTCTTTCTTTCTAGATTTCAATCCCGATTTCGCGTTTACATAAATCGCCCCACTGGTTTTCCCCAATCCTCCTTGAGGTAGTGCAGTACATAACTGCAGCATCCCTTCGGCAAGCCATGGTTCAAAATCTTGAATGAACATACAAACTTACCTCCTTGATATTGGCAAACGGATACTCACTATTCTCTCTGACAGTCAAATTGCTTTTTTCGCATATCAAATGTGAATAAAGACCTGAAGCTGCCATAGGCTCGACTGTTGCCAAGACTGTTAAAGCGTAACGTTCTTATCATAGAATCGATCCACGGACCGGGCACTTGCCGATTTGGGAATGTTTGGCACTATCAGGCAGAAATAATAAAGGTAGTATCAGCTGGGGCTTGTGAGGAAAGAATGCACGTATCCTCATGTCTAGGATGTTTAGTATTACAAGAATGCAGCCACAACTGACCAGAAATCTGAAAATGCTTACTCGATCACATTTTGGAGCGGTATTCGAGATATACTAAGCCAGAATTGATCGGTTTGATCTTTTTGTATCCGCTCGAGCAATGCGATCTTTCTGTCATGTCCCTCTGTCATGTCCCTCTGTCGTGACAGTAACCTTTGAGTAAACAAGCGAGTAAATAGTTTAATTTCCACTGTCTTCTCTATCATGCTCGTTTCCGTCGGGTTGGACAGGTCTCATATCATTGAAGCTCGATTTGGACCCTCTAGGATACTGGAAATTGAGACAGCGACATGGAAACTTGCAGCAGACGGGCTGGGGTTCACAGCAATGCATAGGCTTCGGCTGTCGATCAACGTCTGCTGGCTTGGACCTCGATTTCTAATGGCATATTGGATGTTCGCAAATCATTTAAGCAGTGATGCGTGCTCCTCTCAGATGATACTGTTCAGACCAACTTCTCCACCGATACTTCTACTACACTAAGATACCTCACCACTTTTACAGCCCGGTTCACTTACAGCACTTCTGATCTTATAATCATCATGGCGAACCCTGCCCCCTCGTTCAATTGTGATAAATGTTTCAAGAAGTTCACAGCCAAACACAACTTCAACATTCATTCAAGGACGGTGCACAAGAAATTGGAAGAATGCTCTCTCTGTCACCACGTGGTCAAAAGTCTGGTACAACATCGTACCAGATATCATGCCAATGTCAACGAGGGAAGAACTCAGTGCCAGGACTGTTTTAGATGGTACATACGGATTTGCATGCATAGATGCACTCGGCTAAGCCAAAGGAGTTCATACATACCCATAGCTTGTGCGCCGCCCACATCGCTGAAGATTCTCAACAAGTTTCTTCATTAACAGTTTCCAAAAGTATGTATACAACCAAGCTTTAGCAACATTTCTCTATATCTAACAGGCAATAGACCGTCTTGCGAGCACTCCTATTCCATCTCCACAGCATTCAACGAGCAGATCAGTCCCTTTGCTGCTTTTAAACGACACTAATTCGACAGATCAGATTTCATCGTCTAAACTGCCTTGCAACGACGCCCCGTCACCGTCTAATTTGGCACGCCTAGACTTTCTGATGGGCATGACGGCACCATTGGACCCAAAAAAGGGCCCGCCTGAGCTGTTGGCGACGTATCCAGGCGGTATTCATGACACCGTCTCGATATCTTTAAGCTCGAGACTGCACAATAGGGGGATCACGTCAACCTCTTCGACTCAAGGAACGTTAAATATTGATTTGCTAGATCGCGACATTCCAACTCTGAGTATAGAATCTTGCGATGCAGATCATCCATCCACTGAAGAGCCACCAACTGCTGGGTATGGGTTTGATTGGATGACGTGGGAGGAGTTCACGAGTTGTAATTTTAATACACTAGAGCAGTGACTATGATTTGTGCATAGATGGAGTTGATTTGATTGTAGATAGGTATCATCAATATATGAGGAGCAGATCGCGGGATCAGGTACTAGTCGTGTGTCGCTAGCGAAATCAATTGCTTCAAAGTTTAAATTTGGCCAATTCCACTATCTAATCCCGTCCTTCATTGTGACATGGTTCATACGTATCAGTATCCAAACAAGCCTTTTGTTGCTCCACATCCACACTTATCTTAATCATCTTTTGAGTTTCCAAACCTAAACATGCATCCACATCCACATTCTCGCTCCTATTCAGCGTGTGAGATCCAAAGCTCAGCGCAACAAGAAAAACACCTTACAGCCCTCAGCAGATATACGGGAGAAATGATTTTGCACATGTCGAATTCTTTGCAAGACCCAGAATGACACTCCTGATCGGTATAAAAATGCGGGCGTGCTTTGTTTCTGAATTTAGCATGATTGTAGACCGGGGATAAGGATTATTGGGGGACATTCAGGAAACGACTTTATTTTAAGTCAAAGCTAACGATGTGAGGCTCCAGGATTGGGTCAAAACTGGGCTGGATTTAAGAAATATTGGAAGCTTCATCAGATATGCGACAGATACGAGGAAGTGATTTATATACTTAATAAGACGGATGATAGTATATATATAGAAAAGAAACACCAAGATCAACGCTGAGGTAAATAGTTTAGTAGCAAACCCGTTGAATATTCTGGAAACACTAATTTTCTAGCTTCAAGCTACATAACAGCCTCCTCATAATCTCCACCCTTGTCCCCAATGTCAATCTCCCATACACAGATTTGCAAGCGATTTTGTTGACCAACAAGCTATTCTTGCCATTATTCGGTCACACAAGTGAAGATTAGCAGAAATCAGGCTTCGGAATTGAGTACAGTAGTCGGAGTAAAGACGCTGGATTAAGGTTGATGTCCGTGGAGCGGGGCTCATCCTGCCATCAAACCACGGCATTGAATCGGTTAATTCACCTCCTGGAATTGAAAGACGGAGTGGGTTTCATCTGATTTCTTCCGTGTGCCATAATTGAGTGCCGACCGCAATCTCGTGGCATCCGGAATGTTGTGTTTGCGCTTGTGTCTTTGAATATCGTATTCGCTTCGTGTCTGTGGCTTAGTCATGGCTTAGTCAGCATTTTGATTGAAATAGCACGTGCGTGATCGTGCTTTATTACATGAATCTTAATCACACCAGAGGCTGTCAACATGAAACATTGACTATGCTTGACATCTGCATGTGTGCAATTTTTCCCGATATTACTGTTCTTTATCAAGCTTTCAATAGCCTAGAATGAATTTCTACCATGTGTGCAACCCCCCCTCCTCCCCCACTTCCCAGGAGAACTGTTTCGTGGAAGCCACCCTACATTCCCATTTGTACCGACATTGTTTCAAAATGTGACGGAATCGATCAATCACGTTCAAAAATGATTCTTTCAGCCGGTCTTTGCGAGATATCCTTTTATTACCTATCTTATGATGCACAAATAACACGATATATATCACCAAGTCACGCAGAGCCAGAGAGATTTAATCTTCAGTTGCAGCAGTCTGCGAAATCCGTGTTGTTTCCATTGACACATACCTAGCGGTACATCTTGGTTCTAATCTTGGATTATTGTATAGCGAAATCGCGACAGTGCACCTGTTACTCCGGTCATTCCGCAAGTTCCGAATAGCTTTTACGAGGTTGACTGCCGATAAGATTTAAGCTTTTGCAGATCGCTAAACGAGGCAGGTGGAAGCTGCGGGGATTTGAATTACTTCAATCTAATCTATCCCGATTGGCCCTTTGCGATATTGGTATATTACTAGAGATCTATAACTTTCATCCGTAAATTGGCTGGCAGGGAAGTACATTTTTCATATTTAGGTCATTGACCTTCATCTATCGAATCCTCTGCAATCATAATGGCGAGACAACATATTAAATAGAACTGGCAGTGCCATTTTAAATTAGGATCCACTTTTCTGATTGTCCATTCGTATTTACAGAGGCTATATACCCCTGCTTTACATTCTCTTTGCCCTCCAACTACAGTGTTAGGATCAACATGATTAATTGGTCTCGGAACAGCAATTTGATGATGCCTTGGATCTCGTAACACTTCTTATAAGTTGAGATAAAGACCTTTTATTATTGCTATTGCCATGGGCTTCATTCCATTAAAGTTCATGCTGAGGGTCTCAACTTATCGTTCAGAATTTTTGCACATCTCAAATCATGTTTGTTCTACACAAGGTCATTGGATTGTCTAGTATTCTATGCACGACGGTCTCTAGCCAATATATCTCCCTCAACTCTGGTGATTTGAACGCCAGACTGAATTCATCGAGTCAAACACTCGCATCTTTGATCCCAAAGTCTTTGACAACATTCGATTTCTCCCCTTTTGATGTTCTCTCACAAAGAAACGAAAATGGCAATTATCACGTTGGCGATATTACACTCAGGTATCGACCTGTTGGATCTACTGCATGGATCAGTGTGGATTCCGCTGCAGCTAGAAATGCCGTGACTTCCACTGGTGCCACTTCCGCAAACCTCGCACCAACCCTACCATCAGGAATTCCTTTGAACATCACGAGAGCTTGGTCCGCTAGCGGAGCAGATATTAATCTCAACTTCACAATAACCAATAACGGTAATACCAGTATTGAAATCGGAGCTCTTGGATTTCCTATCGAGTTCAATAGCATCTTCACAAATAGAACAGCTGTAGATACTCAGCAAGTGTGCTCCCTCGTGGATCCAAACATTGGCCTTGACGGTGGCTATCTACGCGTGACTCCATTATCTGGAACGGGTCCAGCGCTTGTAGTGACACCATTAGGAGAAACACCCCTCGAAGGATGGCGATATTTGGAAGAAGACTACGACACCGCACTTTCCTATCAAAGCCAAACATTTGAAGGGTTCTATTCTTGGGAAACTTATACTCTGGCATATACTCAGAATGAATGGAATGGAACGAGCCCTTGGAACCCCGGTACGTCTGTAGTGCTCGCGAAAGGGCAATCGATTACCAAGGGATTGAGGTTTTCTAGTTCAAGTAGTATCAGCAATATCGAAACCACTGTAGCAAACACCGGAACTCCTGTTGCTATTGGTATACCGGGATATATCATTCCCCAGGTAAGTGATATGGTCTCCACCTTCATCCTCCCATTCCCATGCCCCAATCATTTTACATCTCTCATCTTATGTGTATATTTGATACATTCCTGATGAAGTTCTGTTCCATTCTTTTATATAACATCGATTTATGGCCAGATATGTTTTGACACTTAACAGGATCTCACGGCTCAATTGTTCTTGCAACACAATTCACCTGTCTCTTCCATTATATCAACTCCTGCTGGAGCCTTCACATTTACCGCTACAGCAACTAATAAATACAATCTTACCCCTAGCTCCTCTGCATTTGGGAGGGTGCGAGTAACAATTACATATTCTGATGGTCGTGTACAAACGGTGAACTATGCCATCACCCTCTCAGCACCTTCAGCCATATCTACGCTGGGCACATTTCTAACAACAAAGCAATGGCTTTCCGACACCAGTGATCCCTTCGGTAGAGCACCATCCGTCATATCGTACGACCGTTCAGTTGATGCTCAAGTCCTTCAGGATCCGAGGGTTTGGATTGCTGGATTGAGTGATGAAGCAGGAGCCGGATCTTGGCTCGCTGCAACAATGAAACAAGCAATTTCACCCAATGCAGCTGAGGTGACTAAATTGGAACAATTCATCACAAAAACACTATGGGGTGTTCTACAGAACTCTGACTATAGCGTTAAAAAAAGTGTCTTTTACTACCAACCTGGTGCCCTTTCCTACAATTATCTATCCTCCATCGATTGGAGCAATTGGTGGAGTTGGGACAAAGCGACTGCGTATGGTACCGAGAGAACCTACGATTATGTTCATGTCACTGCTGCTTATTGGGCTCTTTATCGCGTTGCTAGATTTTATCCAGCGCTTGTCACTGGGCAGACATGGCAATGGTACTTGAATCAGGCTTATGAAACTATAATCTATGCCGCCGGTCCAAATACGGATTATGTAGATGTAGGATTGATGGGCGAGACGGTTTGGGGATATGTCTTGCAGGATTTACAAAATGAAGGAAATACCACTGCAGCGAATGCGGTCATAGCTGCAATGAAATCTAGAGCAGATTCGTGGGATAGTGAGGCGGTTCCTTTCGGAAGTGAGATGGCTTGGGATTCGACAGGGCAGGAAGGAGTTTATTATTGGTCTAAGTGAGTAGTCCGACATTGACGCCTGATATTCGCTAATTCATTTCAACTTCCAGCTATTTCGGCTTGACAACTACAGTCACAAAAACAATCAATACGATCTTGGGATACATGCCCACGGTAAGCCATTGGGCCTGGAATGGCAATGCGAGAAGATATTGGGATTTCATGTAAGTTCAACCAGATTCTGCACAATCCCATTTCAAATACTCACAATCACGGAAGAACCAAGCTAACAAACAAAAGCTACGGAGGTAAATTAATGCAATTCGAAAGAATGGGTCATCACTATGGCTCCGGTCTTAATGCCCTTCCCTTACTATCATACTTTGAGCAAAACCCCTCTCAGACATATCTTCTCCGCGTTGGATACGGCGGAACAAACGGCCCATTATCTAATATCGACCGTGAGGGCTTCGCCTCAACTGCTTTCCACACCTGGCCCGATACCATGGCTTGGGATGGATACAGCGGGGACTACGGACCGAATTTCGTAGGTTTGGCATTGGGATCTGGTGTCTATGTCGTGGATGATGCGGCATTGGGTCTTATTGCTTTTGGCGGCAGCCTCTCTGGCTCAAACACTTCGTGGACTGTAGAACCGAGAGATGCGGTACGGAGGAAAGTGTACATCGCGCAGCTGGGATTTAAATTTGAGGTTGATGCGGCGGCTATTGAAAGTGTGGAGTATGCGGATGGAAAGGTGCGGATTAGTATTGTGCCGAGTGTGGAGACGGTGGAGGGGATGGTGAGGGCGAGTGAGACAATTTTGAGAATTAAGAAGATGGCACAGGTGGGGAAGGTGGAGAGCGCAGTTGTTGATGGGTTGGAGGGATTGAGGGGAGGGTGGAAGGTGGAACTCAGCGGTGGGAGAGCGATCGTTTTGGTTAGTTTCGCGTAGTCGTTTCTTGGGATCAGGATACATGAGATACAGAAAGCTCAAAATTTGATTGCAGATTGCATGAAAGAGAATGTGTAATACAGATGATAGTATTAACAGTCACACCTCGCATGTAAATTTATCTCTGTGCTCCATTCTTTCACAGTTGTAAAATATACACATGAAGCTTCCCCACCAAGCGTCAAGGCTCGTCGGATCCAGCCTCTATTGCTAGACCTTTTCCGCAACGTGGATTGTGGGTGAGCAGCAGTTTACTTCAAGCCCGTTGAGATTGGAGAGAGGAGTTGAAGAAGACAAGTATAACACATCTACAATGATAACGCTTTAAGCTTTTTGGTGCTAGCTGTGCTTGTGAGAGTCCGATCGTCAATTTCAGATTTCACTACTAGGAGTGCTGTTGGTCAATACTATTCACGGCTAAGCACATTATCTATCATTCCCTTGATTTATATATTCCAGAATTATAGAAAGCGCACCACAACGCAAATTGATGTCTATACTAAATTATTTCTGATCCAAAATTGGGTCGACTGTCAATCATATCGTCAATGTAGTCAATGTAGTCAATCCGATCAGTCTGCAGAATCACATGCAGACTTCAAATCAAAAACTAAAACTTTAATCCTGTGCCTTTAAGTCTCGGGATTTAAGCCTTAGCCGTATTGGAGCTATAGGCTTGGTAGCAGAATGGGCGTTGAGATCTGGGGGAGCGATAGCATCACAAATTATCCCCTTGTCATCGCAGGTATCGTAGTCGAATCGAGTTAAGAATATGGAAACAATAAGGAGTTGTTCCAATTTAGCAAACTTGAAGCGAAGTTTCAGCACTGTGCTACTAGATTGGGGCAAATTTGACTTCGAAGTGTAAAGAAGAACAAAAACTCTATGGGGTGTAAATGAAAATTGAAAACTCACTCCCGTGCCCAGACACGGATGTCTCCCAGCTTCCCACCCTATCCAACACAATGGTCTCTTCTTATCTTCAGCACGCCCCGGAAAATATCTACTGGGATCCCATTTCAGCGGTTCTAGATAGATATTTGGATCTTGATTAAACATCTGAGATATGGTAGGTCTATGGTCGGCATTAGTTTCCGAAGGTGACAAAAAGATAACGTAAACGCATACCAAAAAGGCACCACTTGGAATAAGCTCATTACCAATCTTCACGTCTTCGGTTCCTATGTTGCGACGATACATAGTTCCCAATAACTGCAGACGGATGCTATCTTTGAGACAGCAGTCAAGGAGATGGAACTCGGACTCCCAGGCTTCAATTGGAATGGCTTCAAATCGCTGCCTTAACGGCAGAGAGCGGTCGGGTGCATACTTGTTCAGCACAGCATCAATTTCGGCGCGTACACGATTATACCAGTGCCGGCTACTACCTATATAGGTGAGCATGAACGAGGCATTAATGCCGGTGTTGAGCTGCCCGGAAAAGACAGCGCCAACAATGAACTACGAATAGATACCGTTAGTCTAACCGTTGAGAATGATCCTTGAGTGAGTGAATACCAAACCTGGATTATGAGTTTGATATCGTCACCCATGTCAATATGATATTGAAGCGCGTCAGTCTCGCGATGGTTCATCTTCTTGCGGTTATCCATGATACCCTTAAAGAGGTAATATAGCCTCCCTCCTGCGATAGTCCGTTTTATCAGGGCAAATGTCGGCATCCATGGGAAAACAATGCTCATTGGTGTAGTACTTTGCTCAATTGTTTCGAATAATTTCAATGTTTTCCTTAGCTTTTCAGTGTCATTGACGATCTCAGCGCTATCAACCATACGTATGGTGAGCTGGAAGACGATCTCATAAATAGAGACAAATGGGTCTGTCATGCTTGTCTGAGGTTGAATTTCGTCTAGCCTTACTTGGATATCGTGAATGAAAGAGTGTAAATCTGAAAGTAGTTAGAATTAATGAGGTAAATGATACTCAGAAGGACAGAACTATATTCTTGCTTTTAGCCAGATATTCGCGACGAAGTAGGTGGGTGATTCGAAGTGTGAAGTACCGCAATAAACCGGGCTCTTGGGCAAAATCATTACCCTCATCATTTTTCACTCGGGGGCCCCCGCCAAAGAGATCCCCTAAACTCTTGCCAGTATTGGTTGAAGCTATTTCTTACTCCAATATCACGGCTTTTTTTTGGTGAAGATTTGGGCGAGTATAAGCAACTGGAATAGACATTGATGCTACAATCTAAATTCGCTCTCAGTCCGGAATCCTGACTTTATGAAAGCCGGCGTTAGATTTATTGAAAACACTCTACTTGTCTTCGAGATAGTACGAGCGCTTCCTGGCGTAGTTACTCTATTAAACTTTCGTTCAGATGCTGCTTGCTAGATTGACCACGGCTAACCTATGTTTCCTAGTATCGTGGGAAATTCCTGGCCAGTCACTTTAATTTTCAAACATTGATATTTGATACGTTGATGCCGATCGTTCAACAGCGACTTGAACAAAGAGAACCGAAGAAGTATGAGTATGAAGTGCCCAAGCATGTAAGAACGAGACAATTGTTGGTAGTGGCGGAGTTAACAACTAATAGTATAGCAGAATGACTGTATAAAATGGATCATACGATACAACAAAGCCTCTGGACGCCTGAACGTATTGTTCATGAGCTTATTGCTCTCTGATTTGGCTCTGTCCATATAACCTTCACGGTATGGCCATTATTATTGCAGTATTGACCACATTATGACAAAATTAGACCGCATGTTTTGTGCTGCATGATTTTTGTCTTCACTCAGAGTGAATCCCGCTTATCCGTCACAAAATTGAGGCGGTAGAATGGGAGTCATTCGACAAATCCAAGGGTCAGGAATTCCCATTGCTCGACAGCTTCATGAAAGAATCTTCTCGATCGAATCCGGTCGAGGCCAGTAAGATATGCATGACACGAGTTTCTCTTCTTTCAAAAAGCTGACCTGACCAAATAGTGAGCACGCGGCGCATAGCTCTTAAACCATTTGAACTTTCCGGCGGTCACCAAGTGCCCGTCGGCGAATGGGTCTGTACAGCTCCCGGTGCCATGCATCGTGATCCTGCCTACTATGCAAAGTCCTCCGAGTTTCATGGCTTCAGGTTTGTTGAGCGATTCCTCTATAGAACTATACCAGAAACCTCTAAGTTCGAAATATCAGAGTTAGGTAAATCATCGGAATTTGTGTCCGTTCCAGATTGGCAGCTCTGGGGCACAGGGCGTATCGCGTGGTGAGTAACGATTTATCCTTCGCATGTGACCACAGATTGAACTTGCAAGCTGATTGTATGATAGCCCAGGTAGTTTCTATGCATCAGCACTAGTAAAGACCATGATAGCTTTGCTGATCATTAACTACGATATGAAACTTCCAGAGGCCAACAAATCGGAACGCCACTTCACAAGAAGAAGCGTGGTCGAATTTCACTACCATTAACGAAAATTACCACTAAATTGGGTAGATGGATCAGGTGAGAATGAAAACGATGATAGGCATACATCCAAAATTCCGATGTTAATGTTTTTACCCAACCGAATACTCCCCAATACATCCATTCGTTTATCCGTTTTTTTTTTGCCAATGAAAGTAGTCCATTGCACATTCTATTCACTCCGTCTCGCCGTCTGTGCTATATTCCTCAACGAACACCACTCTAGCAATGCTAATCCCCGTGAGCCCTCATACAGCATTAAAGACAATGCCTAGGATCCATATAGGAATTACGCTTCAAAGCCCCTTCTATATTGCTGTGGCCATTGTGTACATGGTGCGAAAAGCTAGTTTGAAAGGGATGAAGCTGTCATACCTGCGAGTCCCCATGCACCAATACACAGAACGCTTAAAAGGCGTACAGGAATCACACGTCGATCTCCCTTATTCCAAATTATCAAGACGTCAGCGATGCCGCAATAGATTCCCATAACTGACATTGTTGTGTCGACGGCAGTCAGATTGCCCTGCAAATAGAAAGCAAACACCAGGAGGCTCAAAGTACTAGTCCTCATAGTGTGTCCGTAATAGACAATCTGAGCCTCCCGTGATTGAGCGACCTCCTCTACCATACCCCATGTGAGGAGTGCAGCTTTTGGTTTAAGAAGGCCATGAAAGAGTCCCCCCAGAAACATAGGGGCCGCGGTCAAGAGAGCCGGAATGTGTCTCCATGAGAAGTGATTGAGCATGATGATAGTACTGTCCTTTTGATGTTTTTGATTGCGTCAAGGTTGCGAATGGATTGCGAGTTGGATCGAAATGGTTGTGAGATGAAACAAAAATTACACCCCAATGAAGTGGAGTCTTTATACCGTAGAGACTCTATAGTTAGAGGCGTATAAAGGCCACACACAGACTCATTATGGCCGACAAACGCCTCCTTATGTTCTTCTCAACTTCGGGTCAAACAGTCCCGTGTGTTACGCGACTAGGTAGGCATTGTTAGTCTCTTAATAATTGGATATATATATTCTTATTTAGGGCGCTTTCCGATCAATCTTTTTTTGACATTAGACCTGATATATTAGATATATGAGTCCTAATATCTATTTACTAATAGGTGAAAACTAGCTAGGAAGTGGAAGTAATATATAAACTCTAGCTAAGCGCACATGCCTTAACTTTCAACCGTACGTCCTGATATTACTTTAGATATATTAGCTTCCCTGAATATACCTGATATACTCGCTTCAATATTTTATATATCCTTGCTATTATATTATTAATAGATATTACATCAAACACATCGAAAAATGATTCGAACGCGCCCTTAAGATCCTTTCTATTGTCCAGTACTATCTGCTTTAATAAATTATACAAAATATATTATATATGGATTAATTATCTCTAGTGCTTACGAATGCACGTAGCAGTCTGACACCAACTGATACGAAGTTACATCCTCTAAACCTCCTGGTGATTTGTACATAACAAGGAAGAATCTCTATAGATATTTGAAAGCCTTGTTCTTAGCCTCACTGGTGCAGACAATTGGCGACCACGGTTCAGCGTTGGTGTGCAGCACATTATGTACACTAAGCTAGATATAAGATGGGAATCAATAGCTCATTCTCATTGATCGCAATTATGCGTCAATTCTTGAAGGCATCTATCCGACATTCTAAAACTCAATAACTACTCCACTCCTTGACCTAAACAAAACCCCTCTATCCGTGAATCCAAGTAGAGCTCCGCCGAACTTCATCAAACCTCCTACTCAAGCTCCAACAGTTCTCGGTACTGGTATATTCCTCATCATAATCGGTACATTATGCGTTTATACTCGAGTGCATACCAGCTTGAAGCGAAGAAGAAGACTACATCTTGACGACTGTGAGTTACGAGCCTTTACAATTATTGAGCATATATGCTGACGCGCTTGCTAGATTGATCTATCTTCGGACTGATAGGTGGGATTGGATACTGGGGAATGATCTACTCTTGTGGGTCCCAAGTCTTCACAACAGTCAATCAAGTCGTTTACTTACCGACTGGCATTGTCATCAGTGGCAGCGGAAGGTTGGGGAAGACACAGCTGGTATGTATCCATTTCCTTCCTTTCTGACTCCTATACCAATGTAAGATCTCTATAATACTACAACGACTTGCCAATATACTTGTCTCCATGAACTCAGAGACAATTCGCGTCCCAAATCCTCATATCACCGGTCAAGTTTACTATCACATCAGCCATCATCATTGTTTATAAGCGCATTTTTGGGGTTCTCAAATGGGTTCGCATTGTCTCCTACAGTCTCTGTATATTTCTTTTCTTGATACAGGTACAAAACATTGGAATCGCTATATATTGGTACACCCCCAGGAAAGGTGATGTCAACAATATTCAAGCTGCCCTTTTAAGGACCGAGAAAACTTCCTCTTCAGCTATCGTCAACGCTGTCTGTTCGACTATAGTTGACATCGCGCTGTTTCTCATTCCGATAGTTGTTGTACCTAACCTAAACATGTCACGTCAAAAAAGGCGAGCCATCTATGGGGTCTTCTGCTTTGGAACCCTGCGAGTGCTTGCTAAGAATACCTCTTTCAAAGCTTTTTTCATTCCATGTAATGGAGTTTGCTGACACCACTTCAGAATCATCATTGCGGATTGTGTTGGTATAGCCTATAAGACGTATGGCGTTCTTGGAGAACATGGAGATCCTTTCTGGGTTGGCATGATTGCTATCATCACTGTGTAAGCCGCACTTATTGTGACAATTGGACTGAAAAGAGAATGGAGCACACTCATACAGTTACTAATGATTCTGTACTCAGGTATGCTGAAACCTTTGCCCTTGTCATCGTTAGCTGCATACCTGCTCTCTCCACTTTCTACATCGGCACATTTACGAAAAGCCGCTTCTACTTAACACTCAAGTATGGCATTTTATACCGACTGAGAAGGTCCGAGGCGTCCAATGTCCCGTCGTCGGGACCCGAGCAACCACATTCCATGCATTCAACTAGATCACTAGTTTGAAGCGGCAAGAATGTTGTCAATATCAGAATGCCCGAACGCAAATCAAAAAAGCCATCTCAAGCTTCCTCATACTCAACATTATGGAACCAAGAGTCTGGACAAGTCGGTCAATCATCCTGATCTAGCTTTCAAATCTTATGATGTATAGCAGGGAGAGAAACCGAGTGATTGAATGGCTGATGAAGAGATGTTCGAGCACAAAGTCGATTCTTAAACGAGTTATAGTGGAGCGCCCGGAAGTCGCCATTTCCTCATGCATATACTCGCAGTAGGGCAGCAGATAAAATATCAATCTTGCAATTGCTTAGAATCTCAGCGATTTTCTTTCTTGAAACTTCTTTGATAACCATGCAGCTTCGAGTATCTATGCTACACAGCGGTATGATTATGTATTCGGTTGGAAGGTATCAAGTAGGTAGAATCTCACCTTGATCTATATCGATCAAGCCTGGATAAATGAGCTCAATGAGCACAAGGAAAGGATAGACTTAACCATGTAGAGACAGAAGTACAATCATTATCATTCATTCTTGGTAAACGACACAGTTTTGAGTCTTTCCATCTTCGCTACCATGCTCATCCATCCGAATTTATCAGTCATCAACTTGATTTTGACCTCCTCATTACAATCAAAAGCTGGTAACGGTTAGTTTCTGAGAGTTCGCACCGTGAATGTTTTCGATTTTATTCGATTGCTTAGCAGGACGGTTATCCTCGTCATATTTTTTCAAGAACTTTTATCTTCTGATTAACAAGTGAGTCCAAAATTATGTTTGTACCCCATGAAGAGATGTCTTTGGGGAGAGCTCGAATGCCTTATCATGCAGACTGTTTGACTATCAAGCATTATATTGAGCACGCGTAGCACTGGGGTTGCGAGAATTCGATACATTTGATGAACACAGTTGTCTAGTGGCAGTGCACTTCTGATATGAGCATACAAATCAAGAAATTCTCATGTCAGACAAGCGCAAACTCTAGCCCTGTACCCCTAGGGAGCGCCCCACCATTCACATTTTATTTATACTTGAAGAATGTACGAAATTACAGGCGCTTCATGTTATGAGACAGATGCAACTTGGGCCGATTCGGTGTTTCTTTTGAATTGTATCAACTGCGAGTGGCAATGGACATGTGATTTGTTGTCCGCGAAGAGAGTTTGTTCCAACTTAGAATTTGCTTAACAGGGGATTGCCTGTGGATTATCATGTACACGAGGGATCAACTACCTTTTTAGAATCCCTCGCTTTCAACACCGGAAAATTATATCGAAGGTAAACAATACATTGTATACTATGGAGACGCTCGGCGTGGAGGCTGCGATGACTGGAGGGTAATTCTTGTTAATGGCTATAGATCATTCGAACGATGAAGTTGGGGCTGTTTGATATAAAGAGTTATAGCTGAATAGGGAGCATCTGAGTCTCGGACCCAGAGGCTTCGAAATCAGTGTATCTCGAATCTACGTCTGATAATCTGACCTATCATTCAGTTTGATTCTCTGTCATGGATTTTCCCTTGTCACTGCTGTTTAAGGTTCGAAGAATGCAGCTGGGAGATATTGAGCTATCGCACATGTTCAAATTGACAAGAGAACTATCTGAAGCGGCCACCTCGGTTAGCATTTCTTCGGTAGAGACGCTGTGGATGAAGTGTTCAAGTAGACGCGGTAGGTGATTCTGGTAGGTCTGATATTCGAATGATTGATTTCTCAAGCTTCAATGTTTATCAATCATGGCTTTTTTAAAAAAAAACTTCAATATTCAGATGTATGTTCCACTATCTCGTGAGGATTCCGTGCACTGAAACGGGGTTCTAATTAACCATCAAGGAAGCTTGAAGGGTGGAGTAGCTGATTGCCAAATATTATCAATATTAGTAATGAAACTAGGTAATGTCGAAAAGCATTTTGATCATCAGATTTATTACGACGTAGAGGGAAGGTATTATTAGAATGTTAATTAGACAAATTCTGAAGAGGTTTCCGTCGATATTGTGTCGTTCATTTATTTAATTGTATAATCATTGTAAGTGAATGTTGCTTTTATCTATGTATATATCAGATACCTCGTAGATACCAGGTATATATGCACAGAGGAAAAAGCTTCAAGAATCTTGATCCAAACAAGCAATTGAGCACACGACATCAATATTGATCTAGGTAGGTAGGTACATCCGATGATATTTTCTCAACCAATCATCAGTTACTTGTTAGACTATAGTAATGATTACCTACTCTATACGGGTTAGATCGTAGATTGCACATCGTACCTGGTTCCTTACGAATTACGAATTACGAATATATAAATACTTTTATACCGAAATTGGCTAATGATATGTACCTAGATACAATGTGCATAGAAACGGTTCTCGACCACGCAAAGGAAGTATCTAGGTATCTAGGGAATGGAGGTAGTTATCTAATCGAATGTACGGTAGAGAGGGAGGTATTAATTGATTTCTTGATATTCTGACCATATATTTATTAGATGTGACTTGACCTGACCCCTCTTGACCTAATGACTCTCTTGACTATCTTGACATTCTCGTAAATATCTTTTCTTTTCCCATCTTTCTCTCTTTTTATTGTCCACATCAAAGCCAAGGACCGAGTAAGGTCAAGCTTCCAACTAAGACTGTCGGATTCTTCCTTGGTTCGGAATATCGCAAGTTCCAAGGCGTCATAATTGATAAAAGGCCGTAGAACTAGCCTACTCGGGCTTTTAGCTGCTTAGATAGCGCTTCTGCTCGACCCAAAATCAAAAACCAACTTTTCCCTTCCATAAACTCACACAACATCACAACGTTTCATTTGATTTTTCATTTCCATTTTCTTTCCTGGTAAAAAAAGAAGAAATAAAGATCAGACTCTGCACTGCGCCTCGTTTTACCTATCACAAATGTATCGTATTGCGATAAACGATTCCATCGCTATTATCTATCTCCTTGCAGGTTAAGGAAGCTTTTACCTTGATTGGATCATCATTCAATTGGTCCCGTTCGCAAACTCCTAACTCACCTTACCTCATATCGAGTCGTATCAGCCGGTCGAAGAAACATTTGGTGTCGTCCCTCGACTGAAATACACGTTTTCCCTCAAAATGTCTGCACCACCTCCACCTCGTGCGACAGAGCCTACAAGCTCAAGTACTCGTGGCACACCACCTCAAAGACCGGAGCCTACTGCTATACAGCCACCACAAGATCATTCCAATGATTCCAATGCGACCTCAGCGCCCAATACCGGGAAAGATAAAAACAACTCGAAGAAGAAGAGAAATAATCATCGCGGTGGAAAGAAAAAGAGACCAAGAAGACAATCTTTCGCCGCATCAACTGAGGATGGAAATGGTTTGGTCGAAACGCCAATGGCACAACGAAATGCTCCGCAAAGTGTAACAAGGTCAAGCTTCTATAGAGGAAGGAACTTGAGTAATACTAGTATTGAGAGCGGAGAACTTTTGGATCACAGGTGAGTCTTTTGATGGCATACAAGACATAACATACCCTAACATAGTCTTGCGACAGAGATCATCAAAGTATGCGACCTCGAAGACCTTCGACAATGGGTCAAAACGCCTTCGGTCAGATGTATGATAGCCCTTCTTTCAGTCGACCTTCGTATAATAATCCATTCAAATCCTCGGAAACCGTTTCTCGAAGACCTGTCACCGGTAAATCGAAGAGCAATTCTGATGATGAAGCTCTAATGGAAGAAACCGATGAGAGGACTCCACTTATTTCCAGCGCTTCGAAGTCGAAAAGCTCTAATACTTTCCTTCAACAAGGAAAACGTAGTCGTCGAAGCTCTAGCAGGTCATCAAATCGCAGCAAAAAGAAGACCATTTTCGAAAAGGCGACATCTGGTTTGGCTAGGCAGAATGATGAATATAATGTCAACTATCCACCCTCGGTCCCAGGGTCTCCCGTGCTCGGAGCCACAAATCCAAACATGAGCTTTGGAGATGTAATGGTTCGCGATCATTCACCAGAGCAAGATTCTATTCAGGCAGGCTCTATGAGATCCTTCAGGTCTCTCCCAGAAGATGCATGTGAGGATGATTCAGTTCCAGGCACTCCGCGCAAAGGATCATCTTACGGAGAACGTAGACACACTATCGCATTACAAGCCGAAGAAGACGTGTGCTTCCCAGTTGATATGTCTGAAATGGCAGAAGAAGATGCTCCTCAACAAGAAGATGAAGCATACAGATCACGACGTCATAAAAGGAAATTTCCAAATCTATCTGTCCTCGATGATTGGAGCAGATTTGAAAAAGAGGGAAGAAGTGAAGAGAGACGGGCTAAGAAAATCACCGAACCTCAATTGATTAATGGACGGCTTCGACCAATTCACAAAGGTTGGCATCGAGCAGAGGATGATGCACCATATCGATTTACCTATTTTAACGAAGAATTTCCAAGCACCATTCACAGTCAAACAATTTCAGAACTGGTTCAACCTGGTGGAAGTTTTAGAGAATTATTCATTCCTGATCGTCCAATAATTGATGATAGTTCTGATTCTGAAACCGAGGATGAGGGTGATGATACGGATATTCGTCGAGAAAATGCATACATCAATCATGCCCTAGGACATAATAACGAAGATTCGAAATCAGCAACTCGTCAATCATCCATCATTGATATGGCAAATCAAGAATCAAAACGTACAGAGTCTCCTCGTGCAGGGCGCCTTGCAGAATCCCATTCTAGACAAACCTCCCACGACGCATCTCCACATAAGTCGTCGCCACCAAAGTCTACTCCACCGCTTGAAGAGAAGCCTAAAAGATATGGTGATCGTCCTACCTGGTGGCTTGATGTTCTTTCTCCAACGGATGCGGAGATGAAGATCATTTCCAAGACCTTTGGCATACATCCTTTGACGGCTGAAGATATCTTAATGCAGGAAGCTCGAGAAAAGGTCGAACTGTTTCGACATTATTACTTTGTGAATTATCGATCATTCGAGCAAGATATGAATAATGATAATTTCTTGGAGCCTCTCAACATGTATGTGGTAGTCTTCCGTGATGGAGTTATCAGTTTTCACTTTTCTCAAACACCTCATCCAGCTAATGTTCGACGACGAATTCGACAACTGAAGGACTACTTGAGACTCACAGCTGATTGGATATCATATGCTATCATTGATGATATTACTGATGTTTTCGCTCCATTAATTCAAACTATCGAAGATGAAGTTGATGATATTGATGATGCTATTTTGAAACTTCACTCTCCAGCGGAGAATGAAAAGTCTACCAGAGACAATGAGAAGAAATCCGAAGCAGGAGATGGTACTTCGGGAGAAAGTGGAGGAGACATGCTCCGAAGAGTTGGTGATTGTCGAAAGAAAGTTATGGGTCTTTACAGACTGCTAGGCAACAAAGCAGATGTCATCAAGGGATTCGCTAAAAGATGCAATGAGCAATGGGAGATTGCTCCACGAAGTGAGATTGGATTATATCTGGGAGATATTCAAGATCATATTGTTACTATGACTGGAAATTTATCCCATTATGAAAAGTATGTTATTCCTCGAGTTGAAGCATGATCAAAGTCATTACTAACACATAAATAGAATCTTAGCTCGCTCTCATGGCAATTACCTTGCTCAAATCAATATCCGCATGAATGAACGTCAAGAACAAACCGCGGATGTTCTCGGCAAACTTACAGTCCTTGGTACTATTGTTTTACCCATGAATATCATTACTGGTCTTTGGGGTATGAACGTATGGGTACCTGGTCAGGACTATGAAGGAGATTTGACCTGGTTTTGGTGCATCACAGCTGGTTTACTATTTTTCGGACTAGCTTGCTTCTACATTGCGAAGATAGCTTATAAGATTGTTTAAGAATGGATCATGGAGAATGGGGGATCTGGAGAGGATCTTAATATACATATGTAATTGTATGATGGAAAATAAGAGGAAGGAGCATGTGTATATACCAATTTCAGGATATTACTGGGTTTGAGAATTGTATGAATGGGATGGCATTGGATAAAGATAGATAAGGTATTCATGTTGCATTAGTCGGATATATAAGGAAACTGGGCATTGGCGGCGACGTAGCGTAATGGGTTAATGAGAAGTAATTTGCAGATATGATCTTGATGTTCTACTACTCGTAGGAACGCGAGGATTTCTTCTGAATATTGTCAATGGTGATTTTATGCATTATGTGATTGTCCTTTGCTTCCGTGAATAATGTTTGTGAAATTCCTGCATAAGAAGATACTGACTAATCAACATCATTCTCTGATGTACTCGATACCGTTCCAAGGCTGTACTCGTAACCAATTGAATATACTCGTATCAAAACTACCATATACGTTTCAATCTGTTGATTCTATTTCAATTGTCTCTATAAATGCACTTGTTCTTTGCGAGACTGGGTAATTCTTATGTTCGATAAGTATCTGAACAAAGAATACCGGAAACATTCTCGGGAGGAAAAGATATCTATTCTTTGCTTTTTCTTTGTTTTGCTAGTTGAGCTTGTGCGTGGTGTTAATTATTTGGGGTTTTTTTTTGGAAATTTTGATTTGCAATTTAATTTCTATCTGATTTGAGGAAAGCCGTTTTTTGAGAGCGGTCTTTGTATTGTCTTGTTCGAGAGCACGGTATCATAGTCTGGTATTTCTATTTGGGGGATTTGCATCTTGGGTTGCGTCTGGAGAAGTCTTAATAGATTTGGAAAGGCTTCTTCGACACGGTATATAGATTTCGATTTCAGTGGACTTGCTACGCTTCTGGACATCAGGATGGCGAAACGCAAAGCGGGAGTCAAGGGAAAGGGGAAAGCAAAAGCTGAACCAGAGTCTGCTAAAGAGAAGAGCAAAGCTCGCGCGATATCATCGCGCCAGGTTGATGTACATCGCGGGCTCAAATTACCAGTGCCTACAAATATCAAGAGTAAAGTCGCGAAGAAATCAATCGTGATAGATTTGACATCTTCTTCACCTCCTCCACCTCCTGTTCGAAAAGCCGTACCGCCACCTCCCCCAAAAATCATCGCAACGCCGCATAAACGGAAACACAAACACAAACTCGCTCTCTCCTCCCTCTCAACAAGCGAACGATCCCCTGGTATCCACTCCCCCATCACCCGCTCCCTCTCTCTCTCCCTCGCAAAACCTCTTATTTCTGAAGGTGCATTCAACATCTCAACTCGGAAGAATACCACTGCTACCCAGCCTCCGGAATATTACATCCAATCGCATCATATTCAGGATATCACGCCCGGCACCATCGTGTGGCTCCCGTCGAAAGAAGATATTGTGCATAACGCCTACGTGGATCCGAAGCTGCACGTGAATGCGTTCGATCACCCGGCGGTCATTGTGAGCATGCCGAACCCCGCGAATGGATTTTCGGTCGTGGAGATTGCGATTGTGAGTTTTGAGTTTGAGTTTGATTTTTGTAGTGTGTTGTGCTTTGGGTGTTCGACAGCTGCATTCTTGTTTTTCTTCCTGAATGATGTGTATGGATACTAATACCCGTCTAGATGACCTCCCTCGGCTCCCGCACTCTCTACGAAACGAAAAAACTCGGCCATCGATCCCTTCTCTTCCGAGTGCGCACCACACAACTCCCAAGCGCAAAAGTCGACATCACGTTTAAAGATGGGAGAGGAATGAAGGGGAAATATAGCTTTGTCAACTGTCGCGAGTCGTGGCGGGTGCAAATCGGCACATTGGGATTCTATGCAAGGGGGAGGGGAGTGGGGGCGGGAAAGGAAGTAGATTGGTTACGCTTGACGACCCCGAGTTTGGAAAAGTTGAGAGCGAGTATCGGATGTGGGAAGGGGCTGTGGGGATAGGTGTTTGGGAGTCTTGGGTTGACTTATCGTATGCGGAACTTCTGCAGGAAGATTGAGTGTTCACATCTTTTGAAAGATGAGGCAGGTGTGAATCAGATCACGTTCTGTAGGACTTCACTACCATTAGGACTTGGAACACGAATTGATTGATGGCCCATCTAATAAAAGACAAGTCCATTGCGAGCATTCAGCGTGCTTCATGCTTGCAGCAAAACATCCATATATATATACGAGCATCTCGTTTTTGACGCACCTCCCATTCCTCAGTCAAAAAATTCACAATATGAGTGAGATATAACACTTTTCGAAAAATCTTCTTCTAATAACCTATCCCAGTATCCAGGCTCTAACACTCGCACTCATTGTTTTATGAAATTTTCAATCTTCATTACACAACATATATACATACATACATATATACAAATATACAAATATACATATACATACAAACATACATACATACCTATCTATATATAGCTCCACAACACAAGTCTACACAACTTCGTCACACCACACCATATTTCCAGCACGGAAACAACAATATGTTACCCATCTACGCATTATATTATTTCTCGCGCGAGAACGAACTGCGAATCTGGACAAGGAGCTCGGAAGGATATCTCTTTGCACGTCTCGCTATCTCTCGTGCTATCAAAGCGAGAAGTTCGCGCGGGGTATGGATATTGGATGTGTCCGACTATGGCATGCTGAACTCCTGAACTCCTGAACTGTGGAAATCTTCAGGAATCTGAAATTCGTATCTGCAGAGAAACGATATGGGAAATCAGGAAGCGTGTTAGATATGAAATTAGACGAGCATGAGCGTGGGATACTCAACAGCAATCAATCTAGTAAATAAAGAAAGAAAGAAGGAATATTCTGCTTTCACTTTCGCACGCGTAGTGGGAGGGATTATATGTATTATGTGTTTTGAGGATTGAGGATTGAGATGGTTAGTTTTACTGCATTGTATGTATATATATGTATGTTGTCTGAGAGATACAGTATAGTACAGTATAGTACAGTACAATACAACTCAATCTCAAGCAAGCAAACAAGCAAGTATCAGCCATCCATCTGCACACACAGAGAATCTCTACCTACAAGTCATCTGACTATCTGGTATCTGGTTAAATAAATCGCCGCCGTCTTCTTCCTGCTTTAAATTTTTCCTTTGTGTGTGTTTGTGCATAATTATAGGAAAATATAAAGAAAAATATAGAAAAACAAAGCATACATATAAGTCAGATACCCCACTTTCGGGCCACCCCTCTTTTGGGCCACCCTTTTACACCAAAAATCACTTTTTTAATTTATTAATATCTCTATTAATATTAAATATAATTTGATAAGAATCTATATATATATAATTCAAACTATTTTGAATTTATATTGAAATTTTCAGATTTTTAGGATTTTTGTAGATCGATTTCTAAAGCCTCAAAATATCGATTTTCAATTTGTATAGAAATCATATACAAATTTAAAATTCTATAAAATCTATAATAACTTTTAAAGAAAAATAACTAAAAATAAATTATAAGATTTTATAATAAGTTTATAATGTATCTATTCTAAGAGATTCTAAAAAAATAGAAAATTCCTTATAAATAAATATTTAAAGAGATATTTTTAAAATTATAGGGATTATTTATATTATTCTAAATTCACTATATATTATATCTCTATATCCATTTATTTTTTTGATTTTTTTTTTGAATTTCTATATAGATTTAGATTTGAAATTCTCAAAAAGATATATAATTTTCTTTTAGTATTTATTATTAAAAAGTTATTCAAGATTATATAAATATTTTAAATTTATATATGATTCTTATATAAATTCGAAAATCGATATTTTGAAGTTTTAGATCTCAATTTAGAAAAATTCTATTATAAATTCAAAATGACTTGAATTATATAGATATAAATTTTTATTAAATTATATTGAATATTGATAGAAATATTGATAAGTCAAAAAAGTGATTTTTGGTGTAAAAGGGTGGCCTAAAACAGGGGTGGCCCGCAAGTAAGATGGTTGACTTAGAGTTAAGAGAAGAAAAATATGTAGAGTTAAGAAAAACAAAACATGTAAACTTAAGACAAACGTATAGATCCAAGTAAAGAAAAGAAGAATCGAAAAAAGAAAAAGAAAAAACTAAACAGATGAAAAGATATCTAGAGACCATTCATTGATATAGATAATCGATTCAAACTAGTGAGATAGATGATTTGATAACAATTTGACAATTTAACAATTTAACAATAAGGTACTAGGTTACTCTCACGCCTCAAAATTTCGGAGATGTTACTTCTTCTCATGTCCTTTAGATTCTAGGATAGAATTTATGATAAAATCGATTTCTCTCCAGTGATCCTATCATCGGGAAGAAGATGCCCTTGCATAAAAAGTACAAACCCGACAACCCCCCCTTAACCCTCGCCAACAGCTTCGCTCCAGATTACCCATCTGAACAGCGACTACCTATACAGACAACCCTTCCCCTCCCAAGGCTTTACACAACTTGAATCCCTATCCAAATCACAATCAAGCATCACATCATACCAACTCAAACAAACAATGTAAAGGAGTAATTGTATGATATTGACTTATTTTCCCATCCTATCCATCCGTTCCCATCCCGTATCTACAAAAACCCCCTTAAACCATACCATTTCCCATTCCTCATATGCACAGCATCGATTCCCGAATATAATATCCATATCCAGTAAGTACCATACATCCACCATAAGTAGGATTGTAAAGAGAAAAAAGCCATTTGCTCAACATCATAAAAGGCAAATAAGATATCATGTTCCCCCCCTCCAACCATGTTTCGTAATATCATTACAATTATTTCCCAACGTGCCGTTCATTTCAATTCCCGGAAAGTAGAGCAAGTTATAATACAAGGAAATAATGTCGATTAAAACAAGAAGCTATACAGCCTCAACGAAGAGTATAATTGCCTTAATCAAGGCGGGGCTAGATGAGTGAAAGCTCAAACTTCGAATTGAAGAAACTCCAAATTGCGCCATGTGCGAAAGCGCATAATTCATGGATATCATGGGCAGAGAAGCGCAAATATGCAAGACAAAGAAATAAATGTGTCCCAAGCGGCGGTGAAACAATGATCGATCGTCTATTGTACAGCAAAATATGGACCATCTTAATTCCGATTGCCATTTTCCTTTTCTCTAATCTTAGCAAGCCTGGTATCAAGTCGAGTAAGTCTGGATTGTAGTGAAGGTCTTTCAATCAAAATCAGAAGAATCTATCGAGTGACGTGGTTTATGCATAGTCACTATTCCAGATTGTCGAACAGGTGTCTTTTGATGATGGGTGGTTCTTCTTGGAAACGTATTGCTCGGTTTCTCCATAAAAGGCGATCGTAAACGTGGAGCATCGAATGTGGCCGATGGAAGTAACCTTGGCTGGGATCTTGGCGACGGACTAATATCGGGAACAAGACCCGTCTTTTCTGGTCCGATTGGAAGAGGTTGAAACAATCCTGGCATGCGATTTCTAAAGAGATCATCACCGATGGTAAATGCTCTAGTTCGTACTCGTCGTTGTTGGTTTCCCGAGAGAGGCATACCATATATCTGCTCGTTCATGCTATTTGGCTTCAACATAGCTCCACCTGAATTTAGATTTTCGAAATGATTTTGAACCCGCCTTTTATGCTCCTTGTTGTTTGAAGGACGAGGAGGATCAAAGTGAAGAGGTGATCTAAGACGAGGTGCAGGCCCTGGACCTGACATCGTATCAGAATGGACGCGAAAAGCTGAAGGCTGAGGTTCATCGAATGCCCCGTCCACAGTCGAACTAGGTCCATACGTCCGAGCCATGAATGGTGACCCGAGACTTCGAGTTCTCGAGTCATCCAAGCTTAGATTTGTGGTACGAGATCTCACCCAGCCCCTAGGTTGACACATTGATCCACGCGGCCTAGTAATGGAGGATTCTTGAGAAAGCGCTAGTTGAGCTAAAGGTCCATTTGGTTGCATGGTTTCCGATGTACTTGTCGTTAACGACATTGAGATTTCTTTAGTATTGAAAGACTTTGGAACGGGAACTTGTGGCTCAGGAGTTCTGAATCGCGAACGAGGATTATGTTGTGTAAAAGGAGTAGAATTTCTAGATTGAAGGTGCATATGTCGTTGAACTGCACTAGTATCTTTTGTCTTGCAAAGTTCGCGAAGATGTGCTCGAGTAGCTGAGCTTGTGTGGGGCCACTGTGTGTATGTTCGTTGACGATCTTCCATTGGGATTGCAAGCTGGCCGAGTTCAGAAGGCGCCGCACGTGATGTATGATTGAAAGTTTTGGCACTGTGAATTCCTTTGGGTCCCTTCCAACTCTTTTTTGCTTGTCGAGCAACGCGATGGCATACACCTTCTGGGGGCACAGCGCAAGCTCCAATTCGAAAAGGCGTCACGACTGGATCTTGGAGGTAGAGGAGATAGACCGACCACAGATGAGAACTCATTGCTGAAGTCCACGGTGCATCCTTTCGGGTCTTGTGACGACGGTTTGCGTTGAGAACGGTGTCATCATCAGGTTTGGTGGCTTCGGTGTGTAGCTTCTTGCCCTTGGCTTTCGAATATGATGGAAATGAGAATGGATCGGCGCAATCGGACTCGGGACTTGTACAACTACCGTCTTCAGAATACCTTGAAAGACGGCCTTCACTATAAAATGAATCTTCAGAGCGTAACGATGCGGCAGATGTTGGTCGTTCGATATCAAGCTCACTTGGCGACGAGAGACCCATTCTCCAATCAGGACGTTGAGGGTTTGTTTCTTCCATGGCTAAAGTAGGTATTGGAGTTTTCGGAGGAGATGAGGATCTTGTATGGTATGTATGCGGGGCCAAGAAAGATGTACTGATGGAAAGTGGGTCTCGGTCTGGCATATCGCAATCTGACGATACGTGGGGAGCTATTTGTGGCTCCTCGATTGTAGGGATAGGGATATCTGCAGCTGCAACAGAAGCGAGAAAATGTTCAGTTGGTGCTTGCAAGTTAGACACATTTCGTCGTCTGACCTTTAAACGATTTGGACGGGGTGGAGAAGGTGGACCCTCCGATCCAACAAGGTTGAAGGGTTCGGGTGTAGTTGGCTGATCTCCTTCAAGATGATGAAAGCGGAAACCCCGAGGAAGGGTATTTGACCCGTTTTCATGGTGAGGTGACATCGTGTTGATGAATTAGTTGAAACGTTTTCAGATTTGACTGAGTATTGTAGAAATGTAGAATGGGAAAAGTGGAGATTCGATCTCGTACAGAACGCCAGAAGCAAATCTCAGTCCTTGCAATGCAATTTTTCAAATTACAGGATGTGAAGTGTAATAAGAAGGCTGGAAAAGTCGAATAGATCGAGAAGGAGGGTGGATTGTAATAGAATCCAGAAACGAATGTTTTGGTGGATGATGAGAAGTAAATGAAGAAAATCGTTCGGTTATTCGGGACGAGCGAAGTGAATATATTCAAGCCAATGTGAAGCTTGAATTCACCTCCCAACTTCAACAGATCCTATCAATAGATATCTTGGAAAATTCCTTCTGAATTCAGACTGGTGCGAAGAAGGCCCTGCATAAACAATTGACGATCTTGAAGAATCGAAGCAATGGGTTAGGGTGTGATTTAATTGATAGACTTGGACGAATCAGGAATTGAATCCCCAGCTATGACTCGGTATTCGTGGATAAAGCGATTCTCTTAACCAGTTGATTGACAATTTGAAGAGGGTCCCGGCGTATCGTGAGATTAATTCTTTGTGGAGATTGATTGATTGCGGCCGTGCTTCGATGGTTGACTGTTGACTTTTGCGCGCGTATCGTCGCGATTGACTTTCTCGTATATTCACCCTTCAAATATTATGATTATTTTATCGCGGTCGCACGAATGAAATACCGTCTGAAATTAGGATTGTCGGATAATCGATGGCTCTACCAGCAGAACGAAGAAAAGAAATCCGAGCGAGAAGCGAAGCAGTGGAATAAAAGAATGTGTGGTGTCGTGAAATTCGCAGATGGTGAGGGAGGACAAATGTGGTGTTATTGTATTGTATGTTGTATTTGTGAAATGGCGCACGTCTGCCGGATAGGAAATGGTGATCACAGTACTCAAGGCGCAAGAGAGACAATTGAGCGAAATCGATGATTGAGACCGAGACCGAGACAAGGGAGTATCTTGATTCGGATATCTGATTCCTTTCAAATTTCCCACGGTGCGAGGTGATGCGAGGTGATGTGATAGAATGCGATGCGATTCGGGATTTCGATGATACTTGTTTCGGTGAGGGGGCGAATTTGATGAGGAGGACGAAGACGAAGACGAAGACGAAGACGAAGACGAAGAAAGGAGGTGAATTGTTCCTCGAAAGTCTTGCCGATCGGTTCCACTCGAATTGAAGTGGCGATAGGCGTGAGGGAGGTAGGTGGAAGAATGAGGAAGCTATTCAGAGGTAGGATAGTGTGGTGAAGATGGATAGAATAGGATAGTGAGGAAAGATTAGGTATGCAAGGCAGGGCAAGTGCGGCGGGAAGGAGTTAAAGGTGGGTGGGTGATAGATGGGTGATGGAGTGATGGATGGATGGGTGGTGGGTGGGTGGATGAAAGGTGGGTGTGGGTGTGGGTGTGGGTGGATGAAAGGTGGGTGTGGGTGTGTACTTCGTAGGTTCGATGTGGAAGTGAAATTGAAGCGAAGAGAGAGAAAGGTGGGTCAGGCGTCCAGATTGGGTAATAGTGGCTCGAGAGTGGATCAAACAAAATGAGGTTTGGCGCGTCAATATTTGATGGAATAGAGTCATATGATTGGTTCTCGATTTTTACTTTCCCATATTGAGCTCTCATTGGTTCAAAGTTGACGATCGAAACAAAATCAATCAATCAGTGAAGGTTGATGTGAAAACGGTAGGGTAAGCAAACCAACATCCAGATGAAGCGACAGAACATAGCTAGGTAGATTACGCAAGGTCCCTTGTTTTCGTATTCTTTTGGAAAAGTACTGATTATCACTAGGTAGGTATGGTATCTAGTGATATTCAAGTCTCCAAGTACAAGTATAGTATCCAAAATATCGTCAGGCTTGCAAAGTCGGCATCTCATGTCCACAATGTTGCAGTAGTGAAATGGCTAGAATGGTGAGAATCACTAGAATTGGATACTGGCACGGTGCACACACGTCCATCTGCAAAGCACATTCGTCTGCATTGACCAGGATTCATGCTATGGTGCAGCATCATCTGTTGTTCATCTCCATCAAGAGTGGGTATTTTGACAGTTAGGACTTACAGCAGGTACATAGTACAGGACACGCTGCACGCAGTTACATTGCATGAGATCCAACGAGTCGCAGGAAGAACACCATGCTATGCTACTTCCTGTATGTAATATGTATGGTGCGTATGGTATGCAGTAAGAATTGTGAAAGCTCGTGTGGAGTTCTTGGACCTGCAGGTCTTGCAAAAAAGGAGTGGGACAACGTTGGTCAATGCTCCGAGACTGTTGATGTTGATGTTGATGTTGATGTTGATGTTGATGTTGATGTTGATGTTGATGTTGATGAATGTGATGAATATTATGGAAACCGGTATGGTGTGATGTTTTATTTTCTTTGGTGGCTTTCTGTTTTCCTCAACTTAACTACTTACTATCTAGGGAATGAAGCTTTGTTTCATGGTTTATCTTCGACTTAGTAGTACTTTATCGGCTTGACTCGTACCGATATCGTGATTTGTGAATGATACTACTGTACCTAAGATAGTAGTCACTCCACAAAAAGAGGCATTGAATATTCCATAACGGGAGATGATCCAAAAGAGAATGGAGGGGTTAAATATTGATGTCAAAACGTCAAATGTCAAATGTCAAATGTCAGGAGAATGGCAAGACGGGAGAATCGTTTAATAAGTTTGAACTTAAAGATAATTTGATTAGATATAAATGTAGAGATGAGATGAGATAAAATAAGATAAAATAAGATAAAATAAGATAAAATAAGATAAAATAAGATAAAGTGAAATAAAATAAAATAAAATAAAATAAAATAAAATAAAATAAAATAAAATAAAATAAAATAAAATAAAATAAAATAAAATAAAATAAAATAAAATAAAATAAAATAAAATAAAATAAAATAAATAAAATAAAATAAAATAAAATAAAATAAAATAAAATAAAATAAAATAAAATAAAATAAAATAAAATAAAATAAATAAATAAATAAAACATATTCAACAAAGATGTAAAAAGCAATAAAAATCATAATATTAGGTAATTTAGATATTTAATAAGAGATGATATAAGAATTAGATAAGGTTAATATAAGATCATATTTAGATATTAAAGATATTCTATCAAATTGTTTTTTTATACTTCTTTTTTCTCTTTTAATCTTTTCTTCACTTCACTTCACTTCACTTCACTTCACTCTCTTTTCTTTATCTTTTCCTTATCTTTTCATTTCCTTCCTCTCTTTTTTTTCAATTCCTTTCTCTCATTCCACTTTCTTTCATTTCTCTCTATTTTGGTGGTGCACAAAGACGCGTCGCTTAATTCTCAGATATTCCCACGCGTAAATTTCGCGTTTTCCTCGAATCTTGGGGATCTTGTAAATAATTCAATTGGACAAAAAAATCATTCCTTGCTCATGCTGTACCACATCAAATAAGTGCTAGGTATTTTATATTTTATGCATACCTACCTACCTACCTACCTACCTACCTACCTACTATGGTATCTTCTTTTCCGTCTACTGTTAGAAATTACGGCCCAACTTCCTTTTTGGGTTGAGAACTCCCGCTCTGCTCTCCAATTCTTCATTTCATCCATTTTCTCATCATTTTGCAACCCTCACATTTTGATGACAACAATATAACTCAAAGGCTGAAGCTAGCTACACCGACATTGCGATATCACATTCTAGAATAAACCTATCCGTCTCGGCACTTTTGCATTGTACGGTGTGTGCTCGTTTTCATGCTTCATGCATGAAGGATAAACAAGCATCTCGAAGAAGAATAAGAACACGGGATGAGATAGAGATTTACGATGGAAGGAATGTCAAAACTTCAGAACCCCAGCTTTTGATACCATCCCTGTTAGATTTTGGATCAAAAAGTGTCTGGTACAAGGTGGAGTGAAGAGGAGGAGATGGCATCACGAAAATGCTGTTCTTTGCGACACTCGATACTGATATCGTTGACAGTTCTTTCCCTATCATGTTTGCATATTTCTCTCTGAATCGAGTGACTCGGATCCATTGGGCTTGATCAACAACTTTTGAATACGATGTGTACACACAATCGCTTCTATCCACCATTCTCAACCTTGGTAAAGTACCTCGATACATCTTGTCAAGCTTGTCAAGCTTGAGAAGAATTCTTGTCTTCATTATACACGTGATATATTTCCACATCTCTTTACTTTTTACCTCAATGGTATGTCTTTTCTTTTGATCAAGTCGTATTCTATGAAAATTACAGAATGATATAACAATCATTTGCCATATAATTTTGTTGAGCGAGCTTCATATATACGCGCCACACTTATATGGCCACCGTCCACCTGATTTGAGACATCAAATTCCTTTTCAGTCTTATCGTACCGTAAGGGGTACTATCATTGCAATGCATCACCTACCGGTGTTACGCTGTCCTTTCATTTGTACTTTCCTTACTATCATTTCATCTTCCAGTATCGCGAATGATCAAAAATGGTTCTGTCGCAGCAATCATTTCAAATTTTCAAGTTTGGTTTAATATTCATTGTTACGATCGGTTTTGGGTTCTATCTTTTTTCAGATCACGATTATCATGAGACACTTCGAGTCGCTGTGTCAGGGAAGAAAGGAATTTTTGTTCAAAAGGCTCTTCGAACAAATATTGATGGACCTTTCGATGATTCGACTTTAGTTGATCTCTGTGACAACACAGAATGGAGAGAAGGGTTGATTTTTCAATGTGAAGCACCATATGGAGGAGTTGCGAATATTCGAAATATGCTGCTGAATTGTGTTCGATATGCCATTGAAGCTGGAGGTATATAATCTCATCCTTACTCTTTCGTCTACTAACTTTGCAGCAACGTCAATCGTCATCCCAGAACTTAAACTTTGGATACCTCACAATGATAGCCCAAATACACCGGATCCAGAACTGAATACCGTACTACAAAGTAGGAAAGAAAAGGATAATACTGCGCATGTTCCATTCTCATATCTTTTCGACCTTGATTTCTTTAAAGAATCTTTGACTGGAGCATGCCCTCGGATCAAGTTTATTCCACATATCAATGATTTGTATACAGCTCCTAGCACTCAAAATCCACATCCTCTTGATCCGGGTACATTATCCCCAGAAAAATTAGAAGAACCATTCGAATCTCTCCTTGCAAATCCTGGCACATGGGCTAATGATTTTACGACCTGGCTCAACGAAATAAATTTTGAGTTCTCGGAAAAGCTACCAATGCGTGTGACAATCAAGGAGTCATTGCTACATTGGCCATTGAAGTACGATAATCCCGACTTTGTCTCTCAATTTGGTCGACTAATTCGTCCCAATCAAGAAATCCGCACTCTCGCCTCTACAGTCCTTTACGCACTGTCTCAAAAGTATAATCTTCGATTCAATGCCAGTGAAGGAATACAAGATGAAATGTACTATGGCGCACATCTTCGAACAGGTGAAGATGCTAAAGCAGCCAATTGGACTAGCGTCGAAAAGCAAACTCAAAACTATCTTCAAGCATGCAAGCACAATAAATTTCGAGTAATTTATCTTGCGTGCACCTCTGAAATCGATATCAAACACTTCACCTCTCTCGCTCATAGTTACACTACATATCATATCCACGTCGCTACGGCTGCCAACCTGCTTAGTCTTCATCCCAAAGATCTAGCAATCTATACCTCGCTCTCTTCACCCCAACGCTCTCTAATCGACCATGAAGTCCTTCTCAAATCTTCTATTTTTGGCGGTACCCTCGAATCATCATATTCCTGGAATATAGCACTTCGTAGACATATAGTATGGGGAAACGGAACATGGATACCACAAGCTGAAGACTTTGTGTTTGATCGTGGTGGAGTGGTTAAAGATCAAAATGAGAAGGATGCGGGAGCGATAGGGGGACCTGTAGGGGGGTATGGAGGAGGTGGATTCCAGAGTTTTAGAGATGGAGCGGCGGGGACGGGGAAGGATGGGTTGGGGAATCCGGGGAAGGGGGGGTATGGGTTGAGTGTTGTTTTTGGGGGTCCGTTGAGGGGGCAGGAGTGGGAGAGGGGGTTATGGCCTTGAGGTTTGGGGGTTGGACGTTATTTCTTTGAAAGGGGTGGAATGGATAGTGTGTTTTCAACTGGAGTTCGATAACTAATTATTTTTGCTTGATTCTGATTGCGTTTCTTTTTTCATTTGGTATTGTATCTTTATGATGAATTTCATGTCTAATCTAGAGGAGTTTGAGTATTGTTAACATTATACATAAGATGTAGTGAAATTGTTTTTTGATTCATGTCTTCAAGTATATTTAAGTATCATTAATATTATACATGAATTCTAGCGGAATAGTTCCCCATATTGTATGTATATTGATCTCAACCTCAACACGTCTTGATTACCGAACTTCACTTTGTATCTCTTCATTCCGGATGTCGTTGTTCTTTTATTAATCTAACTTGAAGTTTCGTTATTGGGCAGGTGATTTGTTGATTTGTTGGATTATCATTATTGAATCTTTTGGCTTTGTTCTCGAATATTAAGGTAAGGCGTTGTTTATTCATCATTCATTCATTTATTCAACTTTCTCGCATGGGTGGGCCATCAATCAGTGTCAAGTTTTTAAGTGGTGTGTTATTTTTTTGTGGAAAGAAATTTTTTATTTATTTTTTGTTTTCTTTATGGTTGGAATACTTTAGTCTTCCAAACTCGCAAGATATGGCCAGAGTACAATACAAAGTCCAGTATCCTATCCACCTACCTCCTCTTCCCACACACTCTCCTTCCAACCCTTCATCCCCAAACGGAATTAAAACCTATCTCTCTCTCTACTCTCCTCTAAATCATCGTCCAAACCATCCACACCCCCACCCCAAGAACCCCCAGACCCACAATCTCCCCCGCCCATCGCACCAATCTCCTAATCCGCATCTGCTCTTCCCGCAGCGCGCACATCTCGCTTCGTTGCGCCGCGATGGTCGACGAGAGATGTTGCATGTGTGATGAGAGGTGTGTGATTTGTTGGTATCGGGTAAGGATTTGTAGGGTTTGTAGGTGGCTTTGTTGATGTAGGGTGTCGATGCGTGGGGCGGCGATGAGGAGGATGGTTGTGAGGGCGGGGAGGACGGAGAGGGGGTGGTAGGTTTGTGGTGGGAGGTGGGGGTGGGGATAGGGTTGTTGGAGGTGGAGGATGGGGGAGGGTGGGGGGTGTGGACTTACTTTTTACTTTTTACTTGCTGTGTTGTACTCCGTAGAAATGTCTTTGTAAATCGGTAGGTAAGAAGGTATGTAAAGATTGTAGTCTGTGAATCCGGGGATATACTGAGGAAAGGAAGAAAGGAAATCACAATAGAGGGGAATAACGGGTTATGTAGTGCTAGATGGAGATTGTTTATTGTTTGGGGGTTTGGGGGTTTGAGATTTTGAGATTGGGGGAGTGCGGAATTGGGAGTAGTGAATTGGGATTGAAAGGGTGGCGGAATAGGTTGGGATTAGATGCGGAATAGGCTGGGAATAGGGGGTGGATTTTAGTGTTGTTGTTTGATGTTGTTGTTTAGGCAGAGTAGGGTACGGTCTTGGATTATGGATCTTCGATATCTCGGGAAGGATTGGGTGTTCGGTGGTATGTTGTGGTTTGAGATTGAGATGGTGTGTTTTTTTTTGTTTTTTGTTTCTTTGGAGAGAGAGAGGGGGGGGGGGTGGAGAGAATTTTGTGCGGGAGAGGAGGAGGGTCAGATGAATGGTTTTTTGGGATGGTGGTGTATGTATGTATGTATGTATGTATGTGTGTGTGTATAGTATGGACTTTTGTGATATTGAGTGATAGTGGAGGGAGGGGAGAGACTGTTTTGATTTATTGAGCTTAAGATGAGGGAATGACGAAGAGAGAAAGAACAGTAGAAAGATTTTGGGGTATGCTAGGAAATTGATGGACAGGTATCTAAAGTTTTTGTTCCTGATTAACTAGGTAGCTATATATGAGTGAGCATTTGGCAGGGTGGATACTAGGTTGGTATTGGTGGTGGATTTTGAGTTGTGATGTTGATTCATATCCATCATTTTTTGTGAGTTTGAAAATCTTGCTTGGTTGTTTGGATGAATGGTATGTATTTAGAAGTTGTCTCTACTAGGAATCATCATGGTTTTTTCTTCGGTATGATATGTTGCATATGAAAATAACTTGTGTTGATATTGAGTTGATCAGATCGTTTAATCAAGTCACGTAAGACGATTCGGTTCAGAATTTTCGGTTATTAGTCACGGTGCTCGTGTCAAAGAAGTTTTTATATAATTTCATAATTGATTTAAATATTCAGGCTGCCAAAAAAAATATTCAATTCTATCTAAGGAATTTCTATCTATAGAATTATCTACCAGCACACTCGATCCCTACACCCTATCCCTTCTCTCCATCCCTCAAATCCCCTCCACCCCCCCAATCTTCAACAAAAGACACAGAAAAGAATACACCAATCCCAGCACCCCCACCACCAAAACCCCCTTCAATAACCTCAAAAACTCATTCCAGGATTCCAAACACCCCTGCACCGCTCTCTCCCGTACTCCCTCATCATGTCGCCGATCAAACTCCGTCCAGAACATCTGCATCTGTGTTTGCAGCTGTTGGTTTTTATGCTCGAGCAGCGTGATGCGCTCGGTTTGTTGAGTCAGTTGCTGCGTGTGCGAGTGGATCGGGTTGTGGAATTCGCGGGCTTGCGCGCGCAGGAGGAGGAGAGAGGTTAGCTCGGCGCTGGTGGCTTGGGTTTGGATTATGGAGGGCGTGGAGGGGGAGGAGGTGCGGGTGTAGGGGGGTGGGGGGGAGGACGATGGGGAGGGTGGTGGAGGGGGTGATGGTGATGGTGGGGGTGGGGGTGGGGGGTTGAATTCCATGGTTGGGGGTGGGTATGGGATATGGAGTGGAGGGGGTTGAACTAAGCTTACAGAGTGGGTTAATACTGGGGTTGTTTGGTTCAATGCTGTGTGGGGATAGATGCGAGTGAGTGAGTGAGTAGATTTCTCTATGCTAAAACAGAAATATAACGGATGGAAAAGGAAAATAAGGACTGAAAGAACTTATAGCTATGAAATTTATTGTTCGGGGATTGTTACTGAACTGTTCGCATGAAGTATATATTTTCTGACAATTCGAAGTATGATATTGTGGTATATAGTTCTTACATCGATTGCTAATATGATTGATGATCATCTCAAAAGATTTCTCGTTCATTGTATCTTTCCTTCGTTATTTCGCGTGCGTTTGTATCTCCTCTTATTGTATATCGCCCGCCTCAATTTAACGTAGGAAATATGACATCTCCCAAGATTCCTCTAGCTATTTCACTTGAATATATTGATTTAATAAAATTGAGGGAAGTTCTCTAAACATTTAAAATATCCATAGAGGATCTCAATCAAAGCGCATAGTTGATCAGGATGAAAAACGAAAGGTATAAGAAAAGCTTCTAATACATTCTTAATGAAGTTTTCCGCTGCCGAAAAGAAGGAATGGCTGAAAATGGAAATCATAAGGGCCCCTATTACTATAGAAGCTGGAATCATGTATCTCTGGGATATTCTATTGTCTTTTCTCGGTTGTTGGGGTTGCTTCATTTCTTGTGTTGTTTTGTGGGATTCATCTTGTGCTTGTGGATGTGTATCGCATTCCGGGATAGGTTTCTGTAGGTTGCTGACAAGGTTCTCAGAAATTTTATGCTGGGAATCCGGAAATTTCTTTTTTGGTTGCGTTGACCTCTCCCATTCAGAGAGAAAACTCCAGTCGGTATATTCTGGTGTTGGTCTTCTTCGATTGGGAGAGGTAGGGTAGGGCACTTGTTGATATTCCTCGCTATTAATTATTGTAGACCCTTCTGGGTATCTTCGTCCTCGGCTATCTGTTCCAGCAGATTGTGCAAGATGTTGAAAGTATTGTACTTCAGCGTTCATGATTGCGGTTTATTCAATGAATGTGTTTTTCTTTTCAGAAAGTTTCGGAAAGTATTAAGAGGTATTTAAGTTTCCAGAAACTTTTGAAAATAGTTATACAATGGCCAATAAAGGTCTTTGTGGTGTTGCTTAAAATAGATCCAACCTCCTTGTTTTGGATGATGTTGAGAGTGGAAGAGGATGTCTTTGTCTAGCGATATCGCAAGAAAGTTGACTATTTTGAGCTGGGGAAGTGCAAATTGTTTATTTTTGGATGAAGAGAAAGTATCAATTGTTGACGTTATCCCATCGACAAAGAAGTTCCTAATTCGAGGTAAAGAACAAAGGGACATTGTTTAATGTGAAAATGGACCATGAGACTCGAATTTACAATCCAAACTCAAACAATGAGCTCTGTTGTTCGATTCAAGTTTGGTCAATGAAACTCTCTACAACTCCCTCCTGGTATGCCAATCCCTTTTGGTTGTCGCTTCAATGATGTTGGAGACTGGAGGCGGTGCGAAACTGCTTCCATCTTTTGTGCGGCCGATATCTCCTATTGAAATAAAATCGACCATGAGTAACAAAATCTAGTTGGTTATTTACGATACGAAGAAGATTTTAAAATGATACAGTTAGATATCGTATACGTGGAACTGATTGGACCAAGTCAGTCAAGAGCGGAGACAGCTAGACCAAGACCTACCGCTTCAAATATTTCAAAAAATCTATTTCATCTATTTTATTATAGAAAAACCGAGCAAGGTAAAGAATATCATTAATTCTCGAGATGGGAGATGACGGAATCGAAAACAAAAAACGAACAATTCTCTCAAAATCCATTATTAAAACCTAATCCCCTTTGTTCGAACTTCTAATATTTCTTTAATAGCTATTGGAAATATTAGACCAGCTTACATACTCATAGGAACACTCACGCTAACCAACAAATCCATCTACAAAGATGTGTCTCTCAATCTGCCACTCACATACTTGTCCACATATGTCCTATATTAATCATCTTTGCGAACCTAATGCTTACCCTCCAACTTGTCAGTTCCGCAAAGAAGAAATAAAACACTTGGAAAGGAAATGCACCCGTTGTTTGGAACAGGAAGGAATCTTCTTCGAGAAAGGTTGTCTTCAAAAAGCAAAGACAAGAAGACTCAGTGAAGCAGTTGCAATCAGAGAAGGTACAATTCTTACTCTTAAGAGATTAGAACAAGCAGAAGAGTTTGTGAAAGAAGAAAAGAGGCAGAATATGGTAAGAAGAAGACACACGGAGAAAACTAATCGAACGCGCAAGTGTGTGATTATGTGAAGGATGACGAGTATTAAAATAACGTGATTAGGAGGGATGAAAATTTATCCGCCTATGAACGCACTCATCGAAAGAAATAACAAACCGCTTCACTAGTCATGATTTCAATACAACTACTTCCACGAAAGAAAAACCACTTTGATCTGAATATGCTGTGAGACTCAATCACATGAAGGATTGACGGAAGATTAAATATATTGTGACTGGACAGGAAGATCCTCATGATTAAGCGAAGTGCCCCTGGACTATTTCTAATGATGTATCAAACAGCTCAGCAAGATTACCTACCAACCCAAGCATATGAACGGAATTTCACAGGAGCTTGCATATTGGCTGCCCTGCCCAGGATCGATCGACTCCAATTGAGAGGTAGAAGAATGAAGTTGCCGTGGTTTCTCCGGTGTTTAACCGACTTGCGATGACATTTTTAATAATGCTCCAAGGTAAAGAGCTAAAATCGTGTCATCGAATATCTACCTAGGTTAGTACCTAGGTATGAAATTTCATTACTAAACACCAAGAAACTACGATTTTGGTACGATTTTCGAACTCCGGCTTATATCGTATATATGCGGCTCACCAAAGTGGGGTAACCAAACGCGTGATCTGTTCCTTCCTTGTCCTACATCATGACTACTATAAATGAATGGAGATGGAGAGAATATCTATTGTCTGAAGTAACCGAAGTTTGATTCTCCCGACCTGTAGTTCTATTCAAGATCAAAATTATCACACACTTACGAAATACAACTCATACAAAACAACATGTCTCCCACCAAAGAACCCTTCACCATAACTGCCTCTCCATCCACGGATATCTGGCGCAAACCTCCCACCACCGATGCCTTCAATGCACCCACCAACATGGCTTCGGCAATATCTCTCACCTCATTCCTCTCTTCCAAGATCACATTTTCTCTCCCTTGCAAATATCGCTACGACCAAGGTGGTCTTCTTCTCCATCTCACCAAAGCCGGTTCTAAAGATCGATGGTTGAAGACTGGAATTGAATTTTATAATGGAAAACCGTATGTGAGCACTGTTGGATGCGATAATTTCGCAGACTGGAGCATCTATCCGACAGGTCTTGATCCAAGTGAAGACGTGGAGGTTACGGTCGAAGTGAGGAGAGAGGGTGATGAGAATGGAAAGGGTCTTTGGGTTTATTGGATCAAGGGCGAAGAGAGAATACCACTCAGAGAGGTGGCGTGGTTTTTTGCCGATGAAGAAGGTTGGGAAATTGGAGTTGGAGCGATGGCTTGTAGACCTGCTAAAGCTGAGGCTACTAATGGAGAGAGTTTAGAGGTCAAATTTTGGGACTTCGAGTTGAAACAGCATTGATTATCGGATCTTTGTAAGAGATAGAATTAAAGGTTCTGTGCACGGAAGTTTAAGACGGTGAAGAAAGATGAAATCGATTGTGAAGAAATCAAATCCTTTTGGTTTCCTATGATGAGTATTACACTCCATGCCAATTGGTGACATCAAGAACATAATACTAAATCGAAAAGTCCCAGAGAAAGACTTGAAATCACATAAATTTCTCCTTAAATCGTGAAACCTCTGATATATAGGTTTCCCACCTCAGGGTGGTACCTCAAGAGAGAACAACCAATTTTGATATTCGTATTCATTTTGTCATACGGAGTTTGGGGCACCAACACACATCTCAATTGCGAGTACCACCCATCAGCAACTACACTTGCAATCTTTGCTTATGTCTGCAGTATAAAGGAGATTGCATTGTTGCCAATCATCATTCCAAAATTCATTCCACACAAGACTAGCTCAACATACAAGAACAGATCTAGAATAAGTCCAGAACAATCCGACACATCTAGTATATAAGATGATAAACTCCCTTTCCTTCAAATTATCATCCATTCCACAGCCTCTTGAATCTCACTCCAACCTGCAAGACTAAACGCAGACCGAATACCCAAGAGCCAACACAAACCCAACGCAAAGCAAACCAACAAAAGCCGCCATGTGTACCGAAATCTGCACTCAATACTTTGGATGCGGCTGCCGCGAATTCCGCACTGAGCACTGCTTTTATCAATACGTACACAGCTGACTAATCCTACAGTGTCGTGTCTACCGCTTGTTATTCCGTCGCAAGCCGGGTAAGTGCGATACTTGCGAACGTGATATCCCATCACACTGATTGAGATTTAGTTTCCTTTCCTTTTGTCTTTTTAGAGTTGATATGAGGATTTTAGGATGCAAGCTCTTGTTTGAGGGGTTTTAAGCGAAGAGTAGATGGATACGATATTTTGGTAGATGCTGAGAATTATTTTATATGTAGCAGTCTGAAAACACACCAATTGAAAAAAAAATTCCTCAGAATACCTTGATTATGAAAAAATAGCATGCGATAAAATTTGACTTGATAAATGTGATATTAACAATAAGTCATGAAATAGTCATATTGCGATTGACGAGAGTAATAGATGACTGAGAAATGTGGAACGTCCAAAAATCATCAAAAAATATTTCATTGTTCTGGACTTGTTTTTTTAGTAATTTCAATCTTATTCCCACGACGGAAAAGCAAAAATCAAAAAACTCATATTAACATGGGAACTTTATCATTTCTAAACAAGCTCAAAACAGATCCAGAACAACCCCCTATCTCAAGTATAAATTTCACAGCCCTCATTAGCTAAAGCCTGAATTCTCTTCTCCAAAACAATCAAAACTCATCGAAAAACTCAATATCAACGTCCCAAATCGACCCCGTAGCAATCCCAGCCCAAATAACCCCAACCCGAAATTCAAAATGTGCCACGATCAACACAACATCCACATCTCCTGCATGCATTCTTCCACTCATATGCAACACTGTCGTCAAGCCCCCATCAATGAATCCGACAACAATCCTGACCACACTCGTTGTTCATTCTACTGGCTTTCTATCGTCGAGAAGCGTAATTTCTGTGCTGTTTGTAGAAGAATTCGATGGATTCGAGTGACTAGATTTATGAGACGACGAACGGAGGGGGATGGACGGGATGGGGATGAGAGTCCATCCTCGGGGTGTGTGGTATTGTGAGGAGGAGGGATTTGAAAGGTATGTGGATGTGATGGTTTGATAGAAATGATATTTACTCCCTTTGTTACTATTCCGTCCAATTTGCCGCCTTTTGAATAGACCGATAATAAAACAATCCCTCTGAATATAATTTTGAGCAAACTATTGTGATTCTCACTGGTAACCTGACTCAAAAAATGATATGCATAGGCACTTTTGGTATGTGATATGGGATAATAATAATTAAACGTGAGTTTCAATGTCCTAAAGCAGGATGTAGAAAAGGAGGAGGCCCTAATTAATCTAAATTCGCAACTTGAGAGCAGGTTTATTGAATCCGTGATTCCTTGCCTCAAACGCTGCGTACACACTATCAATCTCAGCTTTATACATATCTGTGCAAATGGATCTGACGACCGTTCCCTTAGCAGCCCTCTCAAGTCTCTTATCCTTTTTCGCCACGAGAACCAGATGTCGCTCAACTCGAGCATGTGTTGGTACCGTATCATTAGATTTTTCCACGTCTGGCCATACCTTTGCTACCAAATCTTCCGCCGTCAATATCGAATCTTCTTTGGGCTCTAATAAGATCCCACAACGAGATCTGCCCGTACCAAACACAAGACAGCCGTTTAATAGCGGGTGTGATTGTAGTAGAGTCTCAATGTGCACAGGATTTGCTTTGGATGCATTGGAAAGAATGATGAGATCATCAATTCGATTTTCGAACTTCCAAAGTGGACCTACTCCATCCGGAAGTGGACCTTCGTAACGGCGCAGAATATCTCTGGTCCTCCACTGAGACTGGTCGGGTGCCATGCGAAAAACAGGTTGAGACCAAGCAAGAGCTGGATCATCGTATTTGTTCAAAACCACCTCACACAGCGTAGAGTCGGAGTTAACTGGCTCCAAATCCGGTAAGAATTGAGGGTGGAATTCAATATACGACCAATGTGATTTGGGCGGTACAAGAAGGGGTAATTGGGCGGTTTCAGTCGACCCGAAAATTTGGGTTAGTAATGCGTCTGTATTGGCGATAATGAAGTCTCCTGTCTTCTGTGATAGTGGACCTAGTTCTTGATCAATACGTGTCCAAGAGGGAAATTTAAGAACTATGCTTACCTCCGATCCAGGAAACATATTTCAGAGCAGCGATTTCATCTTTGAGGCCCTCACTATGATCTAAGAATAATTGCTCTATAGCGCTGGGAACCTCTGTTATTCCACGAATTGGAAGAGCCTTCATGATATCGTGGAGAATCTTTCCACTAGACGGTGCATTCGGTGGGCCACGAACCAAGGTCGAACCTAAGATGATGGTTGAGAACACTAAGCCGAGTCCAGATGCATGACTGAAACTACACCCACTCAAGAATAGTTCGCCTTTTTTTACAAGCTTGGAGCCTGAAATTACTCGCCCAGGTACATCAGGTAACAAGATGTTGCTGTTGACGTAACTACTGAGGAACTCATAGCTGCAATTCTTTGGTTTTGGTGCACCTGTGGAACCTGATGTATGAACAATCAATGCAAGCTCATCTTTATGTGTATCCCAATCCTTCGTGTAAAGGTACGGCTTGCTTCTTGTCGTTATGATATCCTTTAGCGTCGGTATTTCGTGTCTTTCCAGAGTTGGAAGTACTTCCAAAATTTGTGCAGCAAGATCTGAATACTGCGATGTGTAGAAAATCTTTGTACTTTTGGTCGCCTTGAGAAACGAAACTGTGTTTGCTAGTGCATTTCCAGCCCTTGGTAAAAGCAGAGGATTTCCAGTTTTCATACAAGCAATCTCAATGATCGGATAGCGAAAGTCCTGAGATCCAATAAACGCAAAAGTCTCCGTCGATGAAGATTTAGACTTATAAGAGTCGATCCAATGAGCTAGGAAGTCAACACCACGCAGAAACTGCCCAGCATTGACTTCTTCGAATCCCTCAGATATGTCAGATGTCTTGGCCACCATTGCTATGACTCTTTGAGGATTGTCACGTGCCTCTTCCTCGAGAATGTGAGGAATGAGTCTGTTGGCACGTTTGAGTTCTGCATCGGAAGGATATGTCTCAATTTTATACGAGACTTGGTAATCGTGCTTCGCAGTTGTTATGATTTGTGTTGTTGAGGCCATGTTGGATGATGATGCTTCGTATTATGACAGAACAAAGATGCGGAAAATGTCCAGGTATATGTACATGTCTTCGACATCATATTATTGATCAACCACCATGATTCATACAGATTTTCAAAACGGGACAAGAAAGTTTCACACCCAAATGCAAGCATATTCCTTTTTGTTGTAACCAACTATATTGTCGATTCGCGAATAATTAAGGGAAACGGATCACATACACACTACAACTGGGCTTCTAACCCGACTGTTAGACAGTAATTCCGAGTACAGCCATCACTTGGAGGGCTGTTATATTCAATGTGAACTACCACATATCTTATTCTCGCTCGAGAATAGTAACGATAGATAAAACGATTCCTTTGAGACACAAAGTTGAGCTTTGCAAGTTGGAGTTTTGTCTCACGACGCGACTTGCACTATACCCGATTCTTGTTGTTTGATGAGCGATGTTTATCCCTCTGCATATCTGTGACAGTCATCCTTCGAAGTAATAGATCTGAAGTCTCATTTCCACGCCGCCCTGGTAAACACAGAATGGTCCATCTATCAATTGAGCATTTTGACCAAGTGAACCACTGAGCCTATTTCAGTGATGATCTTGTATAACTTTTCTCTCAAAGGCGAAGAGCGGTGAACTAAAGATCGTTCAGTTGGTCGGAGCATTCAGTTGGTAGGTGGGACCCTTCAAATGTCAGAGACTTCATTGGCGGCATGTTATCAATAGTTTCCTTTCAAATCAAGAAAAGATAGCTTTCGAGGACGACAATGTGTCTTGGAAACATTTATTTTTAGTCAAGCCACAGGTGTCGTAGTATATGCAGAAGGTATCCATCCATCAGATGGATGTCAAGATAAGAATTTACGTACAGTCAGCAATTCCTCAGGCTCATTCGGCGACCCTCAAGATAAAAGCAACGCTAAACACTCTTGCAACATGAACGTCGCCGACCCCAAAGAACATCATTCCTTCTACCCCACAAAATGAAGCCCGAGCAAAAGTTTAATGAGCCACTCTATATATAAGAATATAGAATAGTCGCAACGTTGTGGAAAAGAATTTAATCTATAAAAAAACAGACCAGTACCTGCCACTTCAGTCTGCAACAAACAAAATCATCTTACAATGTGTGGACAAGCAAGCTGCCCGACCTGTCGTATGTTTCTCCCCCCGCCTTCCTCTTATCTTACATCATACTAATATCGGCGGTGCGGCAGAGAAGGAAACCTGGATCGGCTGCGGTCAACATTTACCTTCCGTCTTCTCTTCGATCCCTGCCGATCAAGAATGTACCTGCATACCAAAGTTTGAGAAGGACGGGGTCCAATACCCACCGAAAGTTGGCACCGGCACAGCACAGGATGCCGGAGAGGAGGGGGACGTTGTCATACACGATTTGAAGCGCGGTGTATGACTAGCCGATTTGCTAAAGATATTAGTACCAGTTGGCTTGGGAGCTTCAGTTTGGGTTTGGTTGTCATAAAATTCTAGGGGACATTAGGGTGGGTGGGTGGTGTTGGCATTTGGCGTCAATCTTTGCGAGTTGCCAAAGCAGGTTGCAGTCGACGCTGATATGTAAGGACTGGCAAATTGGGGGGGTTTCAGTATAAGTGACTTCCAAGCGTTTAACATAACCGCTTCTCAATCACAACGCATGTGCCATGTATGCTCGCGCCTCGTGGGTGTATCTTGACAGATGCATGCCTTCATTAAAGAGCGCTGAATTTGAAAGCCATTTCAAATTACAATTGTTTCCAGGGAACTGGGAATTTCAGTTTCCTACAATGAAGAGGAAACACTTTGGAGATCGGAAGATGCGCGCCGTCTGTGGTTTCTTTATTGACATTGTCTCCTTATCAGTATCGAGTGAGGCAACACGAGGACATTTATTTGTGTATACTCCCAATTCCTGTCCAACTCACTTTAAAAAAGAATCATTGAGAACACTCACTGTATCAGTTTCCACTAGCCTGTCTTTTATACATACTTCGCGCTCCGTCAAACTCTTTTCACAAACCATTTTCAAAATTTACAACTCAAAAGGAGTGTGGTTTGGCTTCGCATTTGATCCCAATTTACAGCGAATCTTACCCAAACTCAACTCGACGATGGCTAAACATGGATCTTAATCGGCCTCTTGTGTGAGTCAACGGTTACCTCAATAGCTTTGCGATTTTTCCAACTTAAGTTGACATTTTGATCAGGAAGAAGATTGAAGTCAATGTCGGCAAATCTAAATACCACGTCCACGAAGAGCTCTTGCGCAGTAATACGAAATTTTTCGATATCTACTAACACAGAAGTGTCATGAACATGAATATAGGATCTGAAGTGTTTGAGTCTTTTGTTCAGTGGCTTTGTAACCGAGATCTCTTCAAACATCCAGCCGGTGGCGTCCGGGTTATTCTAGAATTATGGTTCTTTTGCTGCTGAGATTTCCTGCCCAGAGCTCCAGAACTACGCCTTGGATTGGATTCAGGATTACCATCAAGGCGAGGATTGGATGGAGAATGAGGATTTAAGATACGCTTTTGAGATGGCCAAGGGTGATGGTGGGTATGTTGCTTTGGCGGCCTTCTTTGCTGCTATGCTTCGCCAGAAAAGCGCTGAGGACCACATGATGGCTCGTGATTTTCTTCAAGCAGTTCCCGCCCTTGGTCCATATCTTTATTATGAAAGTGTTTGTGGGGGCATCGACCAGCTTCGCTTCAATCCCAAATACCGAGACCATAATCATCTTTGTTGGTTCCACGTTCACAACGACGATGACAAGATCTGCGAATCTGAACCAAACGATTAGTAGAAGCATGGCTTGCATTTAATCAGCAGATATTCTTGGTAAGTTTTTCTCCTGCTGCTTGCTTTTGTTGGCTCTCTTTGCTGACCCATCCTTAGAGTCTCTTGATAGGCTTGAGAAACCGTCAGAGGTCTTGGGATTGGCTACAACTTCGATAATCGACTTCAGGCAGCTAGTTTGGTCCATTCACACTGCTGGGAAAGGGCGTTCGTTTATCCAATAGATACAAAAAGCAATGGAAGACATCAAGTTTCTTTCAAACCTCATGCATCAAACATGTGAAAAATGTCCACCATTCTGACTATCTTATACAAGTTAATAATACTCTCTACCAGCAATTTCTCTAATACTTTTTCTCTCATTTCCCATTATACTCTTAGACTTGCTGTGCTGGGGGCGGGAGTGCAGGTGGAAACGCTTCCCCCAGCATCAAAAAGCTCATTATATGCTACTAATAGAGCTCCTAAGCACTATTGCCATATAATCTGGCCTAGTGTAACAGAAAAACACCCTTATAGCATAAAAATGCAAAGATCTTGGCATAATGATTTCCTTTCAGTTTGTAGAACATTCGCAGCAAATACTTACTCAGTGCGCTCACTTTTGATAATGGCCTATATTCACTTCATCAATCTGCGCTAGCGTATTATTCTTTAAGCGATCTGAATTTTTTCCACCCATAACTTCTTTCGTTTTCCAACTTCAAAAGGATTGTTTGTTTCGTGGCAATCAGTGATCTTTGGGAAACCAACCTCAAGAAGGCGAGGAAATGGAGTTTCACAAGTAAGTGCATACTTTATTTTCTCCTCTCAACCAGCTCCAATCCATGCGGTCCAAACTTACAATCAATCGCCAGCGACACAATCTGGATCGATGTTATCGGAAACTCCTACGAGGTCAAATTGGAATTATTGCGTAAAGACATGAAATTCTTCGAAGCTTTTCCATGCAAATATACTATCGAGGTCACTGAGGGAGCTGAAACGATCGACTTTTTTGTCCAATGGCTCTATACCCCTGGACGTTTCTTCAAGGTACCAGAAATCAAGACAGTTCTGGACTTATGGTTATTTGCCGGAAGAATTAAGTGCACAAAGCTCCAGAACTATAGCATGGATTTCATTCAAAAGTACTATTATCAGGATGCTGAGTTTATGGATCTTGTTGACCTAAAATACGTTGCCAGCGCCACTAAGCACGAGTGCGGTAAATACAATGTTTTACGGGAATTCTGTGCTTTACAACTTCACTACCAGAACGAAAATGAAGATCGCGAAGCTGTTCGTCATGCTCTCCTTGATTCCTCGGATATAATCGATCTATATCTCGAATATGAAAAAGTGTACTGTTTAGACACCGAATCTGACCCCAGAAGTCCCACCACATCTCCTTGCCAGTTTCATGTCTATGTTACCAATAAAGATCTCGAGGACTGCCAAACGAAGCTCGAATAGATTTATTGTTTTCCAGCTCGCGTTTAGTTGGTGAGTCTCCCCGTGTTTCTTTCTACTACTTTTTTTCCTCGGAACACGTTTGCTGACTTATCGTTGCGCGTTTTTCTAGACGTTAAGGAAGCCAATACTCGTCAACACAATTTGGTTTCTTCCACGAATTCGGCAGCACCACGCGCATCGGTCTAAATCTATCACTTTTTTCAATGAGAGTGTCAGTCAGAGCTGAGGGTCGGTGATGGTCATGATACGCTGCACTGCGGCGGCACACTTAGTCCAATTAATCCACCTGATCAATCTCTGCTAGTTCTGATCTGTAAAGATGATACTACAGTCTCCATCATTTGTGTTGCGGATTTTCGATAGCATCTTCCTTTACACTCACAGGTTTGTCATCATCCTTCGCTACAAGAGATTCACTTCTCTTCAGAAAATTAGTGTAGGGTCAGAATTATATCAGCTTACGCCTCACTTCCTATTGGTATCAATATCATTCACTATATTGATCCAAATTAAGTACTTATTGGTCGCACTTTGCTCTTCACAAAGGCAAACTTGTGACCAAAAAGAATCTCCTTCGCTTTACAACTTCAAAAGAAACGCGCAGCCTCATATTGTACCTCGACCTTTTGAAGAAGAACTTTCAAGCAACACTAAAATGGATCTTATGCATCCCACTGGGTAAGTTAATGCTCTTTATTAGGTATGTTGTTAAGGGTTTCAAGCTCACAATATACAGGAATACAATTACTGATGATGTCGATGAAGTATCTTATCACATCCACGAGAACTTGTTGAGGAAAGATATGAATTTCTTCGGCACCTTTCATGATCACGGTTCAATCTGGATGGATGAAGAACCTGATGTATTCGACGCCTTTGTCCAATGGCTTTACGCGCGACATCTTATTAAAGAACCGAGTCGCTCTCAAATTGTGGACTTTTTGCCACAGAATTTCTTGCCGCAAACTTCAGAATTGCGTTATGGATTATATTCAAGACTATTATTTGTTCCATAGGGAGTTCATGGATGTGGCAGAGGTTAAATACATTTTTCGGGAAGCACCAGCTCTGAAGTCTGAAAATATCTTACAAATCTTCTGTGTTGCTCAACTTCATTATCAAGCCACCCAAGATATGGACTATGCCAGCGTTCGAGATATACTTCTAGAAGTCCCTACTGTTCTTGGCTCGTACCTGAAGTTTGAGTGTGACAACTTATCCGATATAGTCGGCTACAATCCTCGATACCGAGGCCCATGCCAAGGTCGCTGGTGCACTTTTCATATTCACGATCAAGACAACGAGAAAGACTGCGCAATGACACACAATGATTACGACAACTCGAGTTAGATGTCATCTAGCTTGGATTCAAACAAATGTGCGGTAATCCCATTCATTGTGATTTTGAAAGAGGGTTTTGCTTATTCAGAAATAGGACCTTCTTTAGGACTTTTACTTTGTCAGCTTGGTAGACTTAGAAGATGATGGGCACCATGGAACTTTACTCTCATCGAATAACAGATTGTTATAGGGTGGGCGAGATGACTGCACATACGGGCTGCCTCATTAAAACCTCAGACTTTAGTTCATATGGCAGAAACGGAAGAAAATAAAAACAGTATCAAATTATTAGATCGAATATCTTAAGTAAGAAGTGTCAAATGTGTAGAAATTCCAATCCGTTTTAAGCATCCAACACCACACCGCTCTCTCATCATCTCTCCCCCAGTTTCTCTCAGCCCCTCCATTCCTGACATCCAACATATATGGCTCGAAAAATTCCTATGCTCGTATCCCTCTTCTAACAATTATAATTCAAGTACACACCCCTAGCACCCGCTCCATTCAAAGCATTAACATACTCAGTCCAGCTGACACTACCCTGTCCACGAACCCAATCCGCATATCTGAACACAAAAGCCAATCCCTGTCCACTACCCCCATTGCACGCCTGGGTATTAATCAGAACACTCTGTCCGCTCGCAGGAGTGACAGAGCCGAAAATTCCAGAATTGATTTTGGGACTGATGTTGTTGAATGTTGGACCGCTGGGAAGAGGTGAAGAGACGGTGTAGACATCGAGAGCTGGAGAAACGCCAGTAATGGATGGTGTATAGTCTGATGGGAAAGTGAGAGTAAGGGAACAGCCGTAGGATCCGGCTGGGAGAGGGGGAAAGGAGATAAGTTCCCAGAATTGGTTGGAGGGGTTACCTAGAGAGTGCGTTAATTTGGATTAATGATGATATTCGGGAACGATATGCATACCATTGGCATCAGCGTCCTGGCTTATCTTGACAGATTTATCTGTGTTCCATGTGTTTGGATAAGCAGTGTTGGGATTTGCCTTAGAAAGTTGGACGATTTGATTTGGGAAGAGTTGTGTTCCGCAAGTGCGTTTCTCGTTCAAGCCTTCTGGGACTGGAGAAGCTTGTACGAAGCTTGTCGCTCCGATGAGAAGAGAAAAAATGGTCTTGGAAAGCATGTTGATTTAAAGAGTAATTTCAAGTAAAGACCAAAACTTATGATTCTTTGTAAAGTTCTTAGACTCAAAGTAATGATGATGACGGTGATGATAATGGAGAGAAAACCACATTTCCATCGATCCAGCAGCATCATTATATACTCAACCATCAAGAAGTAGCCTGATGCCACTTCCATCAACTGCTGAGATAAATCATCTGACGATCTCATGACATTGCGGACGGATACGAAGAGGCTTTCTCCAAGTGCTGATTTACACAAGGCTGACGCAATACGAATTGTTCAAGCTGAAAACATCATATGATTATCATGATTGCCAACATTACATGATGTTTTTAGCAAACGGGTGAGAGGATATGTTTCTCATTTCTTTGTATAGAGAGTTTTTGTGACAAATTTGATGATTGATGTATGTAGTTGTGTAACTAAAGTCGGGTTGGACCACCAGTGAGAGTCGCGGGGTAGATGCTTGGCAGCTGCAAGGGAGTGAGATTTTGGGGGACTTTTATAACGGTTTGGGTGATGAGGCTGATGTGAGTTATTTTTGGAGGGTAAGCAAACAGCAAACAATCTACTGTCGGTGTAGTGGGGTTTGGAGGTCTTTCATTTGCTGGCCCGAGTATGAAGGCTGATGGTTCGATAATAATCTGAACCCCCTTTCTCTCAGCCTCTCGGTAAGCGAGACATTTGACGAATTTCTATTGCGGTGCCAAGAGAAGTTCTCATGGGGCTCGTTTGCTGGTAGTTAGAGGCATAATGTACGCTTTTAATTTAGTAAAATCGTGATGTGCCCCAGGGCTGAGTGCATGCAACATTGCCCAAGGACTTTTCGTTGATTCGTACAGCCATGTTCTGAAGTTCTATCACTTTGCGTCAATACATTACGTCCTAATTTTGTCAACATTATCTTTGGCGTTCCTAGCAATTGCAAGTTGTAATGCAATTGTCAAACTTATTTTGGAAGGTTGACCTACTCGAGAGATTCAAGATTCTCTAGGTTCTAGAACGCTAGATTTTCTGGATTGTGAAGATAAAAGTACGGATAATCAAGCACAAATTTCACTCGCATAATGATGAATTAGAGTTGAAGAGGCATGGTTCTATTTCTGTACTACTGGGTAAACACTTTAGATATCATAAGTTTCACATTGCGAGAAAAACATTATTGGCTCCTTTGATATTGTGATAACTAATTTCTGTGTGAGGCTTGCTAACAATTGTGAGTCGCACCAATTTTTACCGTCTTTAAATCAAATTTAAAAGATATCAAAGCAACTCAGCCCGTGAAAAGATGAGGCCACCCTTTCTAAAACCATCTCACTTGGTTGCATCTACCAATACTCGGAGCGTCTATTTTCAGATTCTCGTATAGATGAGAAAAATGCAAGACGCTTAGGTCTAGGAGTCGAAGATCCACACTATGCATCTAAGCTGTCCTAGTGTATATTTCTATATTGATGAGAATTCAATGCCGCGACGCAAATCAATTCGTCGTTATCGTTATGCTCATGAAACGCACATTTATCATAGCGACCGCCTCGAACTCTCGGATCAGCAACAGGCATCTCTCCAAGATCGCGCGTAAACTCTAAAACTTCTTCCAACAAGCCATTCATATCGTTGAATATGCTTTCCAAATTAGCAACATCTTCTGGATCTCCAAACGGAATCTCCCACGCTAACATCGCGATCGCAAATACTCGCAACTCATCACCCCATGTTGTATGCTCGTATATATGTGTAACTTCAAAATTAGACAATGGAAATCGGCCGATTCTTTCATCGCCGAGCGCATCTTGTAGAGCATTCATGGCGCAGTTCTTCAGGGTTATAGCTTGGCACTTCTGTGCGAAGATCCAGATCTCAATAATTAGCATGGGCTCTCTTAATCCTCCTTTAAGATGCCCAGAATACATCCAGTTGATAAAAATTTCGAAAATCTCTGGATCGTCCTCGGGAAGATGCATCTTGTTCTCGATACCTTCCTTGAATCTTCCGTTAAAGGCTTTGTCAAAGAAGTCGCAGGTTGATCTGATGAGAGCCCTATGAACGAAGAATTCTTTGAGCTCAGGACCAACGATAATTTGGACCAATTCGTTGCCAAGAAGACTATAAATTTTCGAGTTAGCTTTAATCGATTTGGAACAAATTCTTGTCTCTTACGTAGCAGTCAGATGTGACATCATGGAAGATGCTACTTAGGTACTTTTTTGTGCTGATCGCAGCGTTTTTGCTTGCTAATTTTGATAATTTTATACAAATTTGATTGGGTGAATCGCAGATCTAAAGTTATTACGTCGAAAACTTTGATGTGTCGAAAGACATAAGGGTTTGCGAATGCGAAACCTTTTTTAACTTGATATTGAAAGAAACTCTGTCGTATCATGATGGGCCGTATGAAGCTTCAAGAAGTGAATTGGTGATAACATCTCATATCATATAGCGAAGGATTATCAATTCCCTCTAGTCATCTTCATTACGGTGACAACGATCAAGTCTGATCATGCTCGAATTGCTTCACCCTCACATTACCGCCAGTGTTGATAAGCCAATTTTCATATTGATTTTGATAATGAAGCCGTCGTTGGGGGGTATCATACAAACTAGGTGTCTGGAGTAGAAAGATAATGGTTCAATGTGGATTGTTTCACGTGGAAATAGCTATGCAATGTGCACCTACGATGCGCTCATATTTTCTATCTACTTGGATTTTGCTTAATGAAGCCGACAGAACCTAAAATGCAACTTCCAACCGAAAGCATAGTACACTCCAGTTGCCGATTATAGATATAAACTTTCGATTCTCACTGCTTGCAATGAGTACAAGCTGAGATTGAAATACCACCGCTAGTGCTATTCTCGAGTGCTGATATACAAAGCGAGGATAACGGGATATTGGTTTAGACTAATCCCACACGATTCTTCATTCATTTGGTTTCGTGTTACAGTTTTCACTGAATTTGTGTTTGTGAAACTCGCAAATATCAAATCCCTCTTCGCCCATTACAGGATCATCCGTACGATATCTAGGATCTTTATGGGTCCTCGTGTATTTCAGAAAAAGCATAGGTATATACTCAAGGATTTCAATCACCGCACCATCAATCTCTTTGAATACTCTTTCCATTTTCTGGGCTGGATAAAAGTTTGGACCGTCAATAACAGTACAAGCCATCATTGCTATAGCAAAGCATCGTAAGGGTTGACGAGACCTGGATTTCGTGAATTTAAAGACCATCTCAAGTTCTTGGAACGAAAGGGTACTAAAGCTGGCGTTGAGAGAATCCTGAAGCAAATCCATGGCAAAGTTCATTAGCTGACAACTTTGATACTTGTCGGCGAAGAGAGCTTACTCTAGTCGTCCCTCCATGATTATCTAGGGGCTGTTTCAAGCAACAATTGATGGATGGAAGTATTCAAGGCAGGTTGAGTGTGTCGAGAATCCACGTAGATTTGCTTCGTGATGAAAATCTGTATGTGTTTGACGATTAAAGAGTTGTGTTGGCTGACCCTCGGTATTTCTTGTAAAGTCTTTCGCTCTAAGACCCAGTGGCAGAGTCTTGAAGATGGATATCAAGCTCAACCACAAATACCTCTTCTGTTGTAGACACAAAACAATTTTATTTAAAGCTCAAATGAAGTTCGGGTGGGTTATTGAGAGGTACGGCGCTAGACCGATTTTATAGGTTGTTTCGTTGAAGGTGAATCCAAAATCTGCCCCAAGGTACTGAATGAATTCTGGCTCTCAATAATAGTGGTTTTCTACCATGCGATGAATGGTATAAATATCTTTAGATGCGCAGGGCTCATTCGGATCATTTTTCTATATTTGATCAATATTTCAAACCACAACGGTATGATGACACTGAGGCCAATATATATTGGGGTGTGTGTGATAGAATTCGGAGGAAACTCACAACAATCAAAATTAATATTGGGATGTGTACAGTTAAATGGAAGATGAAGGGGACGTCAATTTCTCCAAATACATTGGTCAACAGCACCTCAAAGGCTACCTACTATTGATTATTATAAAGAAGAATCTCCAAAGCATTCATCACTTTAGCAAAAACAGAGAAATCACAAAATTCCCATTCTACAAATCAAAGTTTCCTTCACAGTTCACCAAGGCATTCTAAGAGTAAAGTCATTGTGATACGAATCTCTATTATTATTGAGATGTTATCCTGCAGAAGGGGCTCCATTTCTACCATCTATTCATATGCCGTAACCATGCAATCTTTCATCCCGTCATAATCGTAATGAATGTGAGTCTTCGATATCCCACCAATGCTGCCCAAAGCCCAAAGTACAAAAAAGAGTGACCAAAACCAACCGGCGCTATGCATATGCATCTAACAAAAGGGATGTGAAATTTCACTCCAGATCCACCATGCTCAAAACCATAAACCCTTAAAGACTAAATCGAAACATTAAACCTCCCTTTCCCCGTCTATCTCTCCGCGGTTGATCACATGCCAATTACCACGTCTTCTATGGGAATTGTAGTTGACAAGTGTCAGATCCATATGCTACGTACAAGCCGTAGTTTCTAGCAACGGTGTTGTTAACGCGGAACTGATAGACATCATAGCTGAAGTTGCTTGGGTCGGACAAGTCGGCAATGCCCATCAAGAACTGGGCTTGCGAAGAGCAGTCAAAGGTGCCGATGAGAGTCTCCTGACCAGGATTCAAGGTGTTAGGTGTAAAAACTTCCACGGTAGGCTCGCCATTGACAGGGAAGACATCCCAGTATGTAAGATCACTGGAGTCGAGAGGAATGGATGGGCCAAAAACTTCGACTTGTGGGTCCAATGGACCAGTAATGACCTCATAATCATCTCTGCTCGAAGGGAATGAAGACCAGAGTTCACAGTTTTGTGCATCAGCTGGAAGGTCAAATGATGCATAAGTGTATTGGCGCGAGGTCCATGCTGTTCCATTCCAAGTTGCACCCATTCCAAAATAACCTTGGTCTAGATCTGAAGGGTCTTGGGTAATTGTGTTGTAAGCGACATGCTGAGGAGTGTTTTCCCAGATGTATTCTAGAACTCCTGGCCATACGATTGTGCAGTCATCGGAAGCGACAGTTGATGTTGCCGCGGAGGAAGAGTCGCTGGTAGGTGTAGGTGCAGCAGATGCAAAGCCGATGGCGGCGATGAAAGCGATTGTGGAAGCTTTGAAAAACATTGTGATGATGAATGTTCTTTGTGTAGTAAAGTTATCCAGGTATGTGATAAAAGAAGAGAGAATAGAAATGGTATTAGATTGCGATCTTGAAAGTTGAGGAGTTGTATTGAAATGTTTGATGTTGATGATGAAAATGGAAACTAAGGTGGTCACCTCAAAGTATATATACCTCGAGTCCAATGCAGCACAGCACAGAAAATGAATTCACTTTCAGTAGATTCTTACTCAGCCCACAGCTTTGTTGGAAATATTTACCGTATCTGCAAGTGGAAGACAAACACAAAGTCGTGATTGTGTTCATTGTTTGCTGTGCGGTGCTCGCTTGTGTGGCTAGGAGAATAGCCATGGCTGTGAATAACACCCTCAAGAAGCTTTTTCAATATGAACGAATATAGGAAATCTATTTCAAGAACCAAATGCAGGTGCAGGTGTGGGCAGATGAGAGGCTGGAGAAAATGGAACCAATAGAAATCAAGAAACCATGCCACACTTCGAGGCGCGACTGGTACCTTTTCAACATATCATACACCGCCAACCACCTCAACCGAGATCAAATCTCACGTGAGGCTGTGCATTATAGAGCAGTGTCTCCTAGAGAATTTTGTAACACGCAGTAGAAACATAGTAAGACTTCGAATAGTTGCTTTTCTATTATGTCAGAACTCCAGGGCTTCGGAAAAATCTAGGCCATTCTGCTTTACTAGGGCTTACATCGATGGATTTTGGTTGCATCCGGGTTGAATCCCCGCCTCCATATTTGCATGCAATTGTCTACCGACAACACTCTTCTCTTTTCAAAGCAACTGTTGGAAGAAGCATCTCCGAAATAGCATCTTTTAAAGTCTATGACTCGTGAAAATATGTATGGTGAATGGGGTCCATATTCCCCCGGTACAACATACCGAACTTTGCTCGGGAAGACTACGCCGCCTGCGCCATCATCCAACCACTGCCAACACAGCCAATGTTTTCATGAGTGAAGCCATTAAATAATACCAATACAGCATTGTAAGCCTCAACACCGATCGGTCTTCTCCCTTTGTTGCACTATTCAGAGATCACTCGATCATTGAAACTCATTGAAAGGCTAATAAGCTCGCATCTGGGTAAATATCATAGATCAACAAGTGATTAGACGTATTAGGCTTATAGCAAACTGCTCAAACTTTCAAATACCTATATTTTAACCCAATCTTACCTACCTACCTACCTTTCTAGGTATGCGTACAATGAAAAACGCGTGAGATAAACGCTTGTGGTGAATAAAGTTGTTCAATCAACCGAGGTAAATTTGGGACTTTTTCAAATCCGGGGTTTTAGCGTCCGATCCACGCTAAATTGCGGGATATTCCGCATCATCATCGGCGTCCGATCGACCACTTTTATATCATCATTCATTCCTTGGATCCTTAGATAGGGTTGATTACTGGACCTATTACTATAAACATCTTACATTATTCGCTTGTGCAATTATGGGATCAATCAGTGGTAATGAGAACACACGTCCTGATTTAAGGGAAATTCGAGTCTTGGTTACAGGTTTTGGTGTGGGTTATTCTGACATTACACCCCGCTTTACCCCTCAATCGTGGAGTTGTTCAATCAATATGTTGAATTGCTCAAAGTCTCAGAGTTCTTAAATGCTGACTGTGACTTCAAACAGCCTTTTCGCGCGCAATTTCCCATAAATCCATCATGGGAGATAGCATCTCGTTTACCACCTTACGTTCCTACGAATGTGAAAGATGAGGGGCACCATCCGCATGCACGACCACCAATAAACAAGATCACGCCACGCATCAAGATTGAGACTTATGGAGCGCCAGTTCATGTAGGATACAAGGCTGTTCGGGAACTTGTGCCTGTACTTCTTGATGACACCAAGCCTGACTATATACTACATATTGGAATGGCATCTGGTCGATCCTTTTACAGTTGTGAGCGACGGAGTCATCGAGATGGATATCTCATGAAAGATGTTGATGGGAATGTTTTGAACGATGAATACAACAAGATTAAGGAAGGCGATGACTGGGTATGGAATGACTGTCCTGGGGAACTTTTGACGAGTTTGCCATTCGACAAAATGTTTCGTCAATGGAAGGAAGCTTGTCCTGTTCGTATTGACTTTTCTATTCATTTTATCAATAACATTACCTTGGTCTCCTCCAAACTCGCCAACCTCTTACTAAATACATACATATAGGAAGTCGATACACGGATTTCCGAAGATGCGGGTAACTACCTCTGCGATTTTATATACTACACCTCTCTCGCACACCGTTACAAGCATCAACAACCAAATAAAGCCATGTTTCTGCATGTACCCGTCGATTCGGATCCTGAGTCTGTACAAAAGGGTGTCGAAATTACGATCGAGCTAATTCGGGCAATGGTTGAATGTGATCTCAAGGCTCAAGCCAATGCCAGGGACAACATTAATACCACAGAAGAGAAAGTGGATCTGTGAATACTTTGAACGACTGACAGGTGAAATTGTATATAATTTGGCTTAGTAGAATGGAATTGGTAAATATATTAGGCAGGATGGACATAAGTGGAATAACATTTTTGATATTATTGGTAGCATTAGTAGTTTTAAGAGCATCGCATTAAACAGCGTTAGGGCCTCCAAAGACATAGGAATTATTTTCAAATATACGAAAAGAGAAACACAATAGTTGAATAAAGACCCAAATTAAGCATTAAGTATTCACTGCGATATTTCAATCAGACATCGTTGAGCAGAGTATACTTGAAACGTTTCTAAATCGCGACTCGCGCATTTATTCCGATGAAGGGGCGAGTTCATCGTGAGGATAAATGACCTCTGATTACGTTGTCAACGGCGGCAGCACAGATGAGGTGTTTGTTCAAGCATTGATAGTTTTGGCACAGGGTCTCGCACATTACAATGCATTCTTGCTGAGTGAAATATAATCATTTATTTTCATTTAAGATCTCCACTTGAGTAGATTATTCATGTCTTCATTCTCCGTCATTATCCCATCATTATCATCATCCAATATGCCCTTGATTCCCAAGTCCCCGATTCCCTGATCTACAATTATTCGTCATCTAAGCATATCCAACCGGACTCTTGCATCCAAAACTAGTTGCATGACCCAATCCGAAACTGGCAATGATACTTTTGATACTGGTATACATGCCCAAAACGGCAGTAGCAGCGCTTGCCAAAAAGAACAAGAAACAGAAGACCTTCAACCACCATCTTGGGATAAGACCTCTCTTCCATCTGCTCATGTCTTTCCAGGTATCGATTCTATTTATAGTTCCGGTGGCAGGGTCGAATTTTTCATCTGGATGCATGGCATCTTCTTTGATGGTCATACCAAAGTAGAGAAGTGTGGGGAAGGTATAGGTGAATTGCATGATGCAGACCGCAGCAACGAGCGAAGAGATGTTGGTGAATTGAGGAACTGCGGATCCGAGAATAAATGCAAATGCCCAGTACAAAGGTACGATGGCAATCCAAATGAGTTTTCCTTTCTTGGTGGTGAGCTCTGGGCCACCGAAGAGATCTTCAACAATGTTTTGGTAAATGACCTTGATGCCGATGTTACCGTATAGAACTGCAGCAATGAGGCCAGAAACAAGGTTGATTGCATTGGTGACGGTTTGCCACGAGTAGGGTGAGAGCCCCTGATTGGCTGGATTGTAGGTGAATTGGCCTTGCTGCGAGTAAAGGACGAGACCGAAGATGAGGTAGCAAGTGAAGATGAATATTTCAGCTAGGAATTGCGCCTTGATGAAATCGAGTGGTCGTTTCATTTCAGCCATGAATTCACAATACAACATTGCCCCACCGTAAGCATAGACGATTTGCATAGCAGAGCTCAATTGCGAATCGAAAGTTGAGCCGGAAGGGATCCAAATGGTATGTTTGATAGGAGCTTTCGCGATACCAAAAGATGCTAACACGGCGTCATAATTGGGAGGACTGTTTGCTGCCACGCCCATGGTCATTAAAATAACAAGAATGTTTAACCAAATGGCGAAATTGGCAAGATATCCAAACTTCTGTAGAGAACGGATCTGACCCAAGAGCATACCACCGAGTGCCCAGACCAAGATACAGATGGAAAAGCAGAGCTTGTATTTGGACATTTGCGAGAGTGCTTGACCGTTAGAGATGACAATAACACCAACATTGAACAGAAGTTGGATGCTTTGCAGAAGATTAATACCATGACGAGAATAAGCTCCGAAACTGCTAATGTTAGCTGTGTGCCCGTAGATTTCATTATGGGCGTGGTATCCTTACATTCTGAAGCCTAAGTCACCAAACGTCCTCATTGGATACTTATCACTGTCGAGCTTCAAGAACATGCGCCAAATTTGCCATCCAGCAAAGAAAGCCATGACACCCATGAAGAAATACATCATTACTCCTCCAACATATCCAAATTGTGAAACGGCGTATGGTGCGTTTGAGGGCCCCAAAATATCGGTGGTGATAAGGTATACACTGTTTTACCGTCAGATAAATTGTAGCTTCATCCAAGAGCATAACTTACACAGCTCCCCACGTAGCGTTTCTTGCTGCTCGGGATGCGGTTTCCCATTCACCAGCTCCGACGAACGAAGGATTGGCGGCTTTGGTAATGGAACTAGGTTTTGACTCGTCGACTGGCTGGGGCTCGGCCTTTTCATTCTCAATTTCTGGAAGAGCATGTTTCTCGTTGCCAATCTCCTTTCCGGCAACTTGGTCTACTCCGGCAAGATACTCCTGGTACATTCGCTCTCGTTCCTCTGGACCAAGTCCATTCTTCTCTTGTTCCCGCTGAATCTTCGCATAGTACAAGTATTCCTCAAAGGGGACATTTGGATCATGCAAGTTGCGACGAACAGTCGTTGGTACGTTGACCTCGCCTACTCCGTCAATGCGAGGATCGCCGCCATCGAGGGCAAGATTTCCTAAATTGTTGGCCATGACTGAAATCTGTAGGAGACTAACTAAAGGTACCACAGCGAAACATTTTTGGGAATCAAAGAGATATATGAAGGATTGTCAATTTCCTCTGGTGGATTCATCATATGGCTTCAGCATGGTTACCCGTGTAATCCGAGGTCTTTAATGTGGAAGTCGTTAAAGGGTGGTGGAGACGCGTGTAGACGCCCCACCCAAAACCTTAAGTATTGAAGTAGAGGAGGAGCATCACTGGATGAAACCCAAGACCAACAACCCACTTCATCGTATCTCTGGCCCGATGGAACCGTTAACCCTCCACATTGATCCTATCCGATATAGCTCGATATGAAATTGTGCTAAAGACATCAAAATTGGAGAACCTCGATAAAAGAGGAAGGTGGTTGAGATCAAACGCATCACCTGGAGATTGCAATACGGATAGCACAATTTTCATTCGTAACTCTTGCTTATTGTATGTAGGGTCGTCAACACAAGCTTTGGGGCGTCAGCGGAAAGACGGAAAGCCGGAAAGCTCTTCAAGCATTTGCCAAGATAGTCGTCACTTGACGATTCCATCAATCTGGGAATTGTTTTGATTCGATTCCTTCTCAGACGAGCCATTTTTTGGCAATCGTTAAGGATCGGAACTGGCCATATTGAGGGGGCAGTCCGTGCTATGTTTCCACTTCCAGCGCAAGCCCGAAATTGAGTCGGGCGAGAAAAAATTTGCTTCGGAGCGAGCCGAGGTTCAAAAGTATTATAGACCTATATATGATAATAGACTGAAAAAGGAATCATGCTGTAAAATGTATCGCCTGGTGTTACTGAAAAGAGAAAGAATACAGCATGATTTCGTATTCACTGTGAAAACCTGCACATATTTGATGTCTAGGCAATTCATACGGTAATATCTCCAGATTCGCCTGAGGATACCTTAACCGCTGGAAGAAGATTCATCTGGCTACAATTATCAATCACGACGAAAACCCGAGCACCTTCTTCAACCAGAGTAGCGTGGTCTGTCCCGTCCTGACTAGATAGATAAGAAGTGGATTCGGTGAAGTAACCCTAGGAATTAATTGACCGTTTTCAGGTACCGGGCTCAGGTTTGCGGGTTGAGGCCCACAAAGTAAAGTTTCTCATACGCAGTGGAGTACTGTCTGACTAGCATAGAGGCCGAGAGAGGTAATTGATTCGCTGTCAACAGTATCGAGCCAACGCCCTTTCAGTCACTGGAAGGGCGGCGTGCTTGTTACAAATGTGCGGGTTAAAGGATGAGAATGAATCCTGATCTCTTCGACATAGTCCTGTAAGAAACTAGAAGTGTTCGAGGGACTTAACCTAATGCGATATTCAGTTGTGGTGTGTGACAATTCGACAAGGGAAGTTATTTTCCTGCAACAAAAGACAAAGACAACAATGATGGCTGTTGATTAGAATTTTGAAATTCATGACGTTGTCGCCAAGTTGTAGGAAATTTCTTTGAGTGGCACGTGTGTGGCTGGTAGTAATGTCTAACGTCCCACTTAAAACATGCAGATGCCCAATTTGGAGGCTGGAAAGGGCGTACCGGTAAACATCCCCCCTCCCATCCAGCCTTTCCAATGACCAAGAGATCTGACTAAATGTTAGGTATGCAAAACCATCTGGTCAATCACAATCGTTTGATTACTACTGTTGTTGAAAAGCTTGAGCTTCAAGCACTTTCATTCTGCGTATCATTTGTTATAATTATATGATTTGATCTCAATCAAATATTCGATATCTGTAGATCGTGCTCTAAGATCTTTCCTGCTCGTTGTACTCTGAATATCAGTACTAAAAGAATGTTCCTGGCATAATCCTAGACGGAAGCTCATCCTGAGCCAGTTCAAGAAAGAACTTCTATCAAGAACCTGTTGAGACAGTTGTTGGCAGCACTTAAACGCTCCCAGTCAAGTACGCTATAAGCCAGTACTATCCATACAGACAGGGCTCCTCCTGAAGAACCATCAAGCACCTGCTTTGCATGAAAGTTGAGATGCTACCAACATTTCGAACATTTCCTCACTTCAATAACTTCCTTTACAAGACCGGGGGAGCATTCAAACACCGCATTGAATTGTCAGGTGTCAAGATTGAGATTTTCTCGTTAAAACAGGTCCTAACATGATAGTTACCCAAAGACCGGGCACTCGGCTATAATGCTTCATATCATGACGATATCTGATCCGAGACCTCCTTCACTTCTTCGCCTGAATGGTAATACTCGTTAACACAATGGGGGTATTTCGGTATGTAACAAAGTACAAACATACCACCAAGACACAGCGTGCGGGGTATGGTTACCTTACAATATGAGACATGTTCAAAGCAGCCGAATAACAGGCACCACAAGCAGACCGACTTGCCGAACCCACTCACTGATCAAGCGTGCATCTCCTTGATCGGTTGATATATGGCTATTCAGTCATTGTTTCGTTATTTCGAACTCCTCATTACTTATTTTACAAGGAAAAGTGGCTCCTTGTGCATGCTGAGAAGTGCTTTTACATGTATCACCATTTAAATTGGGTTGAGTACTGCCCATGGCCGACTTAGACCATTTTTGCCCAATATTTGAGTTTGAAACCCCTACTTGCTACACTATATAACACAATGGTGGATAAAGATAATATTTTCCACTATTTGTTGTCAAGCTGGGAGCGGATTACTGGTAGAACGGTTGTCTTTCTAGTCTGCTGCGGTTTACAACGAGTTGCACTTGGGTTATCGGTTGGTATCAATACCCATGAATTCTGGAAATGGCTGGCTGATAATCTTTTCTTTGCCGTGAAAGTTGAGACAGAGTCTGAAGAACACAGCAGATTTATTGCATTTGCAGATATATTCCTGGCGATAAAATGGGAGATCTTTTGCCTAGCAGTACAAGACATGAGCACAGCCGTAAAATTCAGGTACGTTACAAGCCAGTAGGATGTTGACACATCTAATTGAACATCTAAGTGATTGTTCGTTGCAATTTTGGGAAGCATGAGATACCCGAATGGCGATGTCTGATACAATGAACAACTCGGGTTTGGCAGGTGTTGGCTGGTAACATTATTTTGGAATATATGTAATCCTGCCCTCCTAATTTACTAAAGAGATATCGGTTGATCAACGAGTGATATGAGTTCTAATATTTACTCAAAGTTTCCCATGATTCATCGCTTTTCCACAAAGAGAACACAGTACATATCAACTCCCCAGTTCAAACCGAGAAATTCAAGCGCAATCCAAGCTACCTCCAGCCATTTCACTTCCTTGTTCTCCCCTCTTTAAATTTAAGCCTCTTGCATATAGGATCCCCTTCACTTTAGCAAATCTGCCCTAAGAAATAGCAAAATGGCAGGAGCAAACCCTGAAGGTGTTGCTTGGTTTCCTCGAGCAGCTTTGAAATGCTGGGAATTCGACCCAGACGATGCCAAACAGTTCTATAGTCATATCCTACTTGAGATAGTTTCCAACAGTTCTGTTGATGAAGGCTTCTTTGCCCCAAACATTCCTTGTCAGGACATCAACCGCTTAGGAAGACAGATTCTCACTAGCATTGCACGGAAGACTTATGTCCGTTGCCAATACATGAACGCCAGTGAGTACAATTGTTTCATTCTCTTGTACTCTTCTACTGCATACTTCTGTTCTTCGGCTTCACCTTCACTATTCTTGCTCTCCAATACAGAATTAACTCCTTACGTCTCTCCAAGAATTTGTCGTCAATAGGCATAACTAACTCCCCAATCTTTTAGTGGCCGGTAGCACTTGCATGGGTACCAAACGACAAGATTCTGTCGGTGGTACCGATGCCTACTTTGAAATTAGCGATCAGAGCGGAAAGAATCAGGTTGGGCTTTGGCCATGCCTCATTCCTACGCTCGACGAACAGTTTCCCTGGGTAGATTTGTCTTATCCACTGAGATGTATCTATATCCCGCTATGTCAAGAAGCGCATAAGAGATACCCTGATCGGTGCACGTACACTCGGGTGGAATTACGTCTTAGTAGTCCGACCCTAAAGATCTACAGATATATCAAGCTCGACGAGGAAGAACTTATCAGAGGGAAGTATAATCTTGTTAACCGCGAAAGGGACTACCTCAAACAGATCGACACTCTTAACAGGGGTATTGATGGCCAGAAAATGAGAGAAAAAGATGGACACACGCTTAAATCGGAGTTGACAAAATTGGCACACCAGCTTGAGCATAAAACCCCGACAACAAAGCTCCCAATTACCAAGGAACCTGGTGTCTTTTGCGCCGAGAAAAGGAGAGAACAAGGAATATTCGGTGATGACTTTGAGGTGGTAGGTAGCAAAGTCTTGCAGCGAGATGATACCTTTGGGTGGAAATTTCTGCCTCAATACACGGCCCGGGTTGATATCAGATCTCTTGCAAGTATGCTTGCAATTCCCGCTCAATTACGAAAAGAGGAGTTTCAAGACCCTTATCAATTCATCGCCCTTTTCGATTCCAAATCCGTCGTTGCAAAACAACCAACTCACATTCGATGGATGAATCAAGCAGGTCTCATTCAACTTGACAGGTTGATCAGCAGCCAATATGGCATTTCTGTTACTTATCAAGGAAATGGGTACGACAAAGATTGGATTGTCAAGTGCCTCATGGGTATTGTGGCTGTTGGTCTCAGTTGCATTCCGATGATTGGACCTTTAGTTGCCTTGGGATCTCAATTGATCACAGATGCTATCTTAGACCCAGAGTCTTTCACAACTGCACAAGGACTTGTTGCCAAAATACCAAATATTACTACAGCCTTTGTTGCGACTGGGCAAAACACGAAAGGTTTCCTCGCTGAAATGAAAACTGGGAAATCAGGAAGTCGACATGTTCTAGCTTTGGAGAGTGACGATAATCAAGGTAGGTCAATTCAGGTTGGACCCGATGCTAGTGATAGAGGCGGAACAAGTGGTAAAAGTGATAAAAAGGTTGATACGTTGATCAACAAGGATACTTTTGAGATTTTCAACGATGAGCCTGAGTCCAGTGAGGATCTGGATAATCCAGAAAGCAAAAGTGATAGTGGTGAAGCGGTGAAAGAAGAAGGCGAGGGGGAGGAAACCGATGGGAAAGAGGGGAGTGGAATTGATGGAGATAATACTTCTGAGGGTGGGGCCAAGGATGGCCCAGAAAAGGAGGCAGAAGGTAGCGACGAAAAAAATGAGGGAGAAGAGGGAACAGAGAGTAATGAGGCTGAGGTGGAAGGAAGTGAGGCTGAGGTAGGCTCTGATAATGGGGCAATGAAGGAAGTCAAGATGAGGGTGGGAGTGGAGCGGATGCCGTTGTTGATCAAGATGATGCAAGCGGCAAAGATATTCCGGAGGGAGATGAAATCCCTAAGAGCGAGGCTTCTGAAGAAGACCTTAAAAGTGAGGATGATGGTGGAGAAAGAGATGACAATAATGAAGAAGTGGACGATGGAAAAAATCGGGAAGCTGAAGATGGAGGAAGTGAAGATCAAAACAATTCGTATAACGGAGACAAGGGGGCAGTTGGGGAGGCCGATGACTCAAAAAGCGAGAACGGCCAGAACGGCCAGAACGAAGAGAATAATGATGATGGTGAGGATGGTGGAAAAGGTGTGGATGAAACAGGGGAAGCGAGCGAAGTTGAAAATGGCTCGGATAGCGACAACAATGGAAAGGACGAGGCGAGTGGAGATGCTGATCAAGAAATCGGAGAAGGGGGTTCCGATTCTGCCGGCAACCAGGAGAATCAAGAAGTGAACGCTGGCGATAAAAGCGAAGGGGAAGGCAAGTTAGAAAGCGGGGATTATGGAAGTGATAGAGATGGTGAAGAGAATGATGCAGAAACCAAGAATGTTGACCAAGATGACAAAGATGGAAATGATACTCAAGAAAGAGATTCAGGAGATAACAACGATGAGGAGGGAAGTGATCAAGAGAACCAACAGGCAGGTATCGGACAGAAGATTGATCAAGAGGAGGACGATAATCAGAGTCAAGAAGAAGGTACTGGAGGGAAGAATGACGAAACCAATCAAATAGATGGGGAAAACGAGGGAAGTGTTGAAGAAGATGATGGCAAAGGAGATGGAAAGGAGGATGATAATACTCGACAAGACTTGGGCGAGCAAAACGACGAGAAAGAAGATCCAACGGGTTCAACCGAGCAAAGTGATGATGTAGAAGGAGACAATCCAGAAGGAGATGACCCAGAAGGACATAATCCAGATTCAGATGACGCGGATGAACACGATCAAACAGAGGACAATAATTCGGCAATTGATTTGGAAGGAGGGAATGAAAGTGATCAAAAAGATGAAGGAGACAGGAACGAAAATGAAAATCAAGGGGCAGCTGATGAAAATGGTCAAGGGAGTGACGAAGGAGATGATCAGGAAGGAAGCGAAGAAAGAAAGGAGAATGAAGATACTCAAGAGAAACAAGGAGAGGGCAGCCAGGATGACGATGGGGGTGGAGACAATCAAGATGGGGATGAAGCAAACGAGAAAGATACAGAAGGGAACAACGCGGACCGAGATAAACCGGAGGAAAATCAGAAAGAAAATGATGATGTTGATACTGAAGCGGGAGACGAGGGAAAAGATGATACGAAAGATCAAGGGGACAGCCAAGTGGATGATTTTCAGGGGGGGGATGACCAAGGAGGAGATAATCAAGGGAATGGCCAAGCGGGGGATAATCCAGATGGAAATGAAGAAGGTGGGAACAGAGATGGGGGAGATGGGGGAGATGGAGAAGATAGTAGTGGTGAAAATGATCAAGGAGGGAATGATGATGGTGAGAAAGACGATGGCGAAAACAATGATCGTGGAAATGATGGCGGCAACGCTGATGGGAATGACGATGGTGGAAATGACGTTGGTGAGAACAGCAACACTGGGAACAGCGATATTGAGAACAACAATGGTGGGAATGACGATGGTGGAAATGACGTTGGTGAGAACAGCAACACTGGGAACAGCGATATTGAGAACAACAATGGTGGGAATGACGATAATGGGAACGACGATTGTGGTGGAAATGACAATGGGAATGATAGTGGGGATGACGATGGAAATAATGGTGAAAACAAGGGCGGTGATAGAAATGACGAAGGTGGAGACGATTAAGTATCTTTCAAAGTGTAAGGCAATAAATATCCTGTTATGATTCAAGTATTGAAGTTTTTCGCTCCTCTTTTTTCCTGACGATATTGAGAAAACAGTTAAGCAAATAATAATGGTAATTTTGTTTTATATGTTTTTGGGTATGACACTAATACTCGAATATGAATGATGAAAGCGGAGGTACATGTGTAATTAAGAAAATATAATGATGGTCGTAGAACCATCTCTATGGTCAAATGATCGAGAAAAGACTATTGTATTTTCGTTTGCTACCTAAATTTGTATACAGATACCAAAAAGAGTGTATTGAATTCCATTCATTCGAAATCAGGCTACCCGCTAGTATAGATAATACCCTTGCTATTTACTTGGGATCGAAATACCATTTCTGGTTATCCTCATTCTTTGTAGTTGCGGAGAGGATATCAGCTCCACTTTGGGTGCCGAAATCTTTTACAGAGAGTTGGCCACGGCTGGAGATCTTGCTGTTGATACTGAATTCGATGTCAGCCACCTAGACTATTGACTTGCTCAGGGTGATTGGAATTATACTCACGTGAAGACTTCGTATCCATTGGTTGTTGAGGCCTTGATGGTCCAGCGGGCAGACTGATCAGTTGGGGAGATTTGAGGAGTGGAAACAATTTTGTTGTCGCCTATGATTATTGGATGAGCATGTGAATGAACCCTGATGTTCATTGGTATAAAGCTTACCAGTCGCGGTGAGGAAGAAACCGCTGCGAACATTGATGATCAAATACTCAGCGCTATCCCCGGAGCCAGCAACGAGTGCTACCTGCCACTTGGCGTTATCGCTTGGTTTATCACCACGAGCGCTAAAATTCCCAGTAGCATTAGTTATTGTCATCTGCAGCGTGTTAGGACGGTCTACAGATAAACTTACTATGTTCTGACAACCGCTCCAGGTGTGAGCAAGCCATCCCAAGCATTGAGGTTAAGAGTTGGAGCCTGGTATGGCACAATCTCGTAGGTACCGACGCCCTTGAAAACCATATTGAATGATGATATGTGTGAGTTGCTAGAGAGAATTGATTTGAGTAATGATTGTTGCCGTGAGAATTAGATGAGTGGTGAGAAATTAAAATCAGATCTTGGTCTGGATATGCTCGACTTATATATTCATCCTCTTGATCTTTGATGGCTATAATAGTGCAGGGTCCTTCACTTTCGTTGTTTCGGTGGCTAGCTGAGCTATGGCTGATGGTTGCCATCGTGAGAGACGCAAACTCTTGAGTGATACATCAATAGACTCTTCATTGGAATGGCTTGACAATTGTGTCATTATCTATCATATATTGCTACGACCAAAAGAAAGACGGCATGCTCGAACAGGTTTCTAGCATAGCCGAGCACGTTGTGAAAAACTTTCATGCGCTGTTGCGCAAAATCACCCAATTATGGTGCCATATCACATCGACAAATTCAGCTCAGAAGCACAGGCAAATTCATCGATAATGTCAATCCTTCAAGATCATGGTCCTTGGCAGAGGGGTAATTTGATATGCAGCGTTTAGCGATGTTACATGGGTGCGGGGTATTTGAAAAGGCGTAGCTGGAAAGTTCATTTGAATCATCGAATGAGTGGGGTCGTGTAAGACCCATGATAGGTATCTATCGCGCCATCAAATTGCCATACTTGGACTGTATGCGCGTTCGCCGCACTTTTGCAAACATTCCATCGCCGCGGGGTAGAATGAAGCTGAGAAAGTCTCTCATAGACAGACGCCCAATTGCGTCCCATTCTCGTATGTTCAAATTGATTTTTCTAATGGAAAGAACGGATGGATTCATCGCAGAAAGGCAGACCAAAGACTACCACAAGTGACTGATCAGATTGTGCTTAGGCCAAAAGATAACTCTGAACAATTTTGCGTATAAAGAGCGTAAAACCGCAGGCTGGGCCCCAGAAGCCTTAGTTAATTGTCAAAGATGCGTTGGAAATGTCTGTGTTCTGTACTTAAGTAGTTAACAACAGTGAAACTGCAGTTATGCAGTGGTACAGTGGGGGTGCCGACTTTGAGAATTTGTGTGCAACGTAATACACGAAGAGCTCTTGCCATACTGACGGCCCCCATGCATCTAGATGTGGCAAAACAATCCCTCCAAACTCCAGATTTCCACTCTCGCACTCGTTATAGCCTACCGTACAGTGCATCTGTCATATCGAGCGTCTCAATATCCCACCCCTCTTGAACTACCCAAGACTTTCCAAAACGATGCAAGTGTTCTTAGAGGACGCCATTTCGTATCTCTCAACGTATGTAGAATTCTGCAAAATTCTAGACTGAGATTTTAGGTAATATCAGGTTGTTTCGTTTTCTTTACAGAGTACAGCCATGACATGAGTTTGATCAACTAACGATCTATTCCTGATACATCGCAGTACGCAGCTTTAAATTCAAATGGAATTTTTAAGGGTTAATAAGATGTAGCTCACCTTACAGTGTGATAGGTAAGATATAGAGCATAAAGAGGATAAAAAAGCATTAGGACGTTAGCGCGCCTGTCGTGATGACAACCTATGACCGACTGTAACCGTATGGAAAATAGTGCGACCTGTCTTGATGGCTTTGTCTCGGAATTGCGGGGAAATATTTCGTGCTACAAGATATTTGCCATTGGTGATGGCCTTCCAAGCAGAGGAAGAGGTCAAAAAGTCGTACCGAACTCACATCACATCTTGTCAATGCGGTATGTCTAATAGCTTTGAGTCGCCTCTTCCGGCATCATACAATTCAAAGTACACACAGCCCTGAGATCTTCTCCGCAATGATGTAGTATTTATATGGAAAATGATTTGGGATATATCAGAAGGAAGAGCATTCGTTGAGCAGTACCAATTTTAGAAATATCGTAAGGATGGAGAAGAGGCATTTGAATTTTCTTCAAAAAGTACCAGCCACTTATCGCATGGTGTATCTGAATTTAAACCGAGAACCTAATAGCTACTGTATTGAGCGTGGAGTATGAATTTGGAATTTGACGTTTGTGCATGATAAAATCTCAATATCAGGTTTGATAATGTGTACTCGAGACGTCCGGCAAGATTAGTATTTACTGTAGATACTCCTCAACGACCACCGCTCATGGACCTCTTCAACTTGACACTTGTCGGTTTAGCATGAAAGAAAGCACAAAATGAATGAAAATCAATAAAACCCGTCTAATATCTCATTTCTTAGCCCGAGGAGGCGAACTATAGCCCTAAACACCCTCTGTGTTGAGGGATTTCAAAAAGTTAACGGTCAAAAGGAGACATCACATCCTGTGGTTTATCAAAGTACGAAACAATCTTGAACTCTGTTTGACTTTGAACAGATGACCAGAGGGCAGAGTAAATATATATCCCCAAAGATGTCTGACAGACGTTCATCTTGTGTCCGTTTGCGAAAGGAGAGCAACAAATTGACTCGCTCCATAACGCTTATATTCTTCTTATCTTATCTCTTCCCTCCATAAGAGTGTTTCCGTACGGGGAGCAGTCGTCTTGCCACTTTTACAAGCCATAGAGGGGTAGCATGAGAAAATAACAAGGCAAGTCTAACGTGAAAAGTCTTCTGGAGTCGTTCTCTGTATCGTTGACATCATCCCGTCATCTCTCCCACACAATCAGTATCCTCAAAGTTTCCTTTCAACTCTAACTTACCCATCTATCTATCATCTATTGATTCATCACCTATACCCGCAAAAGAAATTGTCAGCAACCTATAAATAAAAGCAGCGGCCCCTCCCTTACTTCTCGCGTCGTTCCCACGCAAAATTTTCACCACCCACACCACCACATTTTCAAGACATCACATCTCCATCAATACTTGACTATTTTCGATGATTCTTGATGCAAAAGAACCGCAAAAGAATAAGCTGATCACTACGAGGGTCGAACTCGCGACCTTGGCGTTTTCAGGTTCTGGCGTTACTCAGAATCTATTAGCACCACGCTCTAACCAACTGAGCTAAGCGACCGATCATGGTTATTTGATGGAAGATCTTGCTTTTTTATCGTACTTATTCATATCGATAATAATGGAGGACAGGAAAGTGTGGAGTGTGTGTGATTAGTGGTGGAGTCTAGACACAGGTACAGGACGGTGTATTCCGAACCGAGCCGGGCACTATCAGTGGGGCTATGGCTGGCTTGCTATTCCGAAGAGTAGGTTGCTTCCACTACGCCGTATAGAGTCTCGGAGTCTAGGTACCTGTTAGAAGTGATATGTTGATTGAATGAGGCTACATCTAGAATACAAGAAGAGATTAGACTCTTTGAACTAGGAAAGATCTATCGAGTCGCGACGTTACAATGAACCTATCATAATGAGAGACTGAGATTAGAAGCCGAGATCTCACACGTCCAGACTCCTTTGGATGTTGGTGTTGGAAAACAATGGTATTCATATAAGATGTCAGAAATTTGGAACTTGATCGAGGATATCGCGAGCTCGAGATGAAATTTAAAAATGACAGCGAAACTCTAATGCATCCAATCAACTCGCAGCTAATGGCATTTTCAAATTGAGATATTCCCAGAGCTTAGCGATATCACCAGCTCGTCAGAAATCTGAATTTCGCGGTATACTGACCATATAACTAGAATGATGAAGATAGGAGATATGAAGGCTTCTGGGTTCAGAAAACAGGTGTTAGTTCACTCCCATCTACGAACCTCTTTCTCTCCTCTAAAAAGACACAAACCCCTCGAAATCTCAAGTTCCGATATTCCTCTACTCCCCTCCTACTGGGTATCGAATCCATACTCGACGATTATACGGGCGTGAGATAATATTCGGCTCATCACTACCAGCCCGGATATTTCAGACTATCACAGACAATCACACATGCATACATATCTACTACCAATCACCCATTTCAATAACCAAAAACACTCGCAGACGGACGGCCTCTCCCAACCATTCACAACTAGGTACTGAGCTCAGCATTCCAATTGCGGATAAACCAGCCAATCGACCAATCGACCAATCAACTAACTCGAAGCCTCAACTAGCCTGTACATATCTTTCCGCTTCCCGGCATTTCATAATCCATATCAACATTTTATTATCACAAACCTCAGCCAACAATACACCTCTGAAGTATCCCGAACATATAAATAGACAAAAACCAACATCAACAATCCCATCCCATACATACATACATGAATACATGCTTGACCAAACCCCCCGTCTGTACAACCAACACATACACATATCCCGGAAAAGCCCATGTAATTTCCCCCCGCAGCAGCCACCACTTAACTCGGCAGTTTTCCAATTCCCGTAATTGTCAAGGGAGAGAAGGAGTCTCGGATATCGATTATCGATTATCGGATAACACTACAATTACGTTTTGGACAATTATGAGGGCTACTATATCATACTAATATACATGAGATTGATGATGAATCAGCATGCATGTCATAACCATCACCAAGTATCACAAGCAGAAGTCCAATTTTGAGTGAGTTTTGATATCTTTATTATATCCTATTTCATCTCATCTCAATTCATAATACATGATCAAAATTCCATAAGCCTCTCCCACCAATTCAATTCTTAGCCCTCATCTCCATGCTTATTGAATTGTATCGCCCCACAGCACTCTCTTTCCTCGACACTTTTGCATAATCATCTCAATCATCAAGATTAAAATAGAATGTCAACCCCATAATTTCCCATCCAAGCCTAAAATACATAAAAGTACATAGCGTCCAAATCCTCGCTTTCGTTTCGTATGTGAAAGTCTTTTCTAAATATTAGACCATGAATGTATGTAATGGTTATCAAGAAGAGAAAAGACGCAAAAACCGCCTGCCGTGCTGCGTCATGTTTGTTTCGTGAAGGTGAACATTGTGTTTGAAATAGAATACAGTAGAGAAAGAATGGAAGAAGAAAAGAAAAGAAAAAACTTGAATGTACAATGTGGGAAATAAGAAAATTGGTATCATGAACGCCGTAATAAGAATGTAAGTTCTTAGTCCATCTCATTGATAATTGAGAATTCCTCAAGAAAGTTAGGGTTTATACCTTCACTCCAATTTCCCTTCTCGAATTTACGAAAGAGGTGCCCCTAGTTCTTCCGATAGTGCTTATAGCACTTCCAGGAGGCAAGGGAGGCAAAGCACAATCTGGGGGAGGAGCTGGGGGAGCACCATGCATAAGAGCTGGCAAGCTTCTTCTGTTTGAAATAGGTCTTCTGGATCCACCTCCTGGCGAAACCAAACCAGAGGAATAACTTGATTTGTGATTTAGAGGTGAAGAGAGGGTTGTAGGAGCGAAAG